GTCTTTAGCACCATGGGGATGGGGGTAAAAAACTCATTCCACTTGCCTTCAAAGGACTGGGGTGGGACAATAGACACCCACCCTTCATGACCACTTTGCTGTCCCATTAACCATTTAGGTTTCTTTTTCCCTTTGAACAACCATTAACAAATGTCAACTCTTTTGGTGGCTCAATAGCTGGCCGATAAGGATGTCAGTGGACCGAAGCGGGGGTGAGGGGTGTAGTCTCCATCTCCGTACCTATTTAAAAAAACTTTGGTCATTACCGGTCCATCCTCGTTAACAGGTATAATTTTCATCCTCATCCCCGTCCGAGGGTAAATTTGTAATCCTTGTCCCCGCTTCTCTCGTTCTAAATAAATCTAACATTTTAAATAATCCAATAACATTCTAAATGATCTTACACAACATAATGCAGCATAACATATTCCAACATAACACAAACAACAAATGTCCAAAATACAACTTGAATATTTGTAATAGATAAATTTTTTTGCTATGTAACTTCACACATTTAATTTAATAAAGAAAATAAAATATAAAAAATTATAATAATTGCATAAAAAATATTTTATATTTACTAATAAAATTGATAGGTTGAAATTGAAAAATTACCAACTGAATCATCTCTTAACATCTGAATAACCACTTAAATTTTTTGGCTATTGATAAGGATTACCATGAAATCCAAGCCAAGTATCTATCAGAGTTTTATGAGTTAAAATGCAGGTAATTCTACCCATTGAACTAAAATGGATTAAATAGCAGTAAGCTGGTTGAAGTTCCTCCTGATCAAATGCCATCAAGAAACATTGAACGATTATGTCCATTGCAGCAATGTTGTCCATTAAAACACAATGCTATACGAAACTAATTTTGGAGCTTAATCAGGACCAAATTCATTACAACATTAAATTAGTTATTGGTTCCAACGTTTTAATACAACTGTTATTGATTAGGTAAATAGCATTTTCCCATAAACAAAATATTTTATAGTTCCACGAAAAGGGGGAAAACAAAGGAAAAATTAAATATCAACTTCAAATAGAAGTTTGGCCACAAACCCATTAAATCATGACATGAACTTCGAATGCAATAATTTGGCAGATTCAATGTCTAAAATACATACATATAAATAATTTGGAAGGAGTAAGTTAGGGTTATATACCAGGTATCGGGGACGGGGTAAGGGTAAGTTCATCTCCGTCTTTATCTCTATACGGGTTTATACAGGTATCCCTGTATACGTCGTTCATCCCCGGTCCAAACAAGACGGATTTGAACGAATATCCATTTTTTTCCGGTCCACTGTCATCCCTACTGGCCGAGTCTATTCTCCGTTAATTCAGAGATCTCAAGTTCAACACTTTTCATATTTTTTAAGGGTCAATTACTCTTGTTTCTCAGAAAACATGTTCTAAATCAATTTGAACTACGGTGACTAAAATCTAGGCTTGAGGGAATAGAGTTGGTACAAGCCTAGATACTCTGTACCAAAAAAAATACAAAAATGGTGGGTCAAACAGATAGATCTAGATTTAAGTGAAAAACAGTATCATCATTTCAAATCTGATCCCCACTAAATCAAGCAAGTCTGAAGATAACCCAAGATTTGAATCGCAGTGCCGCCGGCGGGCACTCCAGGTGGGTCAATGCCAGTCACGTACTTATTAACAAATTCCACCTTTTCTTCACCAGGGAGACACAGGTGACCATCCGAAACTTTTCTTCATTTTTTTTGCCATCTATTTTGCCTGGTCTTGACTCCCAACTGAAAAAGAGATGAGGTGGGAACACATAGATACAATGTTGTTTAATTGTGACATGATTGTCACCGGGGTAGCTTGATATGTTTTGAAGTCTAAATCGATAAATTCGACTAAGATTATTTTAATTTTTTTTTAATAATAACGTAAATTTTTTAATATTTAATTTTTTTTCCGGATGCATATTAATTGTTTAATATTAGTATTGAAGTTTTTCTCACATATCTTTTTTTATTGATAATATAACTAATTAACTTAATTTTTAAATTAAAATAAAATTTTCAAAACTTTCAAATTCAAAGATTATTTGACAAATTATGTTGTCTCGTCATTGATGCTCTTATAAAAATATTTTTTTATTAATTAAGAATTTCTCATAGAATGTATGTTTGAGTAGGATTTTTAAGATTATGATAAAAAAAATGTAATATTAGATGAACATTATATAGTGACATTATTTGTCGATCTTATCATTTTTTGTTATTAGATAGATAGTGGACCCTATTATTAGTTGGGGCACATGTCAATTCCATGGTTATGATCCATCATGTCACCAGATAAGATTACTACATTCGGTACAAAAAATATTTTCTTTTTTTTCTTTATAAAATGTTATTATGTGAGATTAATTGATTAAATTTTTGGGCCCAAAATTAGTCTAATGTTTTTTTTGTTAGTTTAGGCCTTCATATATGGGCTTTCTTAATGGGTTTAAATTGACTTGAATTACTATATTTGTAGACTTTTTAAATTTTGAGGACCTTTTTTATTTGTGGGACCTAAAGCGATTGTTTCATTTTCTCCTGTGTTGGGCCGTCTTTGATTGTCACGGTTTGGAGTGAATGAAATAATCTCTTTGTATATAAGGTAAAGTTTTGTACATCGAATTAAAACAGAATTTTTTGATCTTAAAAATTTTATGCAGTGAATTGTCTATTTATTTCGATTAAAACATAGTTTGGTCATGAAACATAGAGCTGAATAATTAAATGATTTAATGGGTCATCATTTGTGGACACTCTCTCTAACTAACTCCATTTGGTTTGAAATTGCTTGTGTTTGAAAGCTCCCTAACTCAAGGAAATATGATTTTATCTCATTTGAAATGATGACAGGGACCTTTTTCTCTCTTTTTTAGAATGTAGCTCCAACTTCTAAGACAGGGGTTCCCCCTAGAGAAAGAGAAGGGGTAGAAATTTGAAGTAGTCATCATGGCATTTGTTTCATGAATTCTCAAAATATGATCAAGTATATTTGAGAAAAATTGGTAAAACGTGTATATGTAAGTATTTTTTTTGTTCAACCGTCAGTGATGTTTGGATCAATTTATTCACATTTTGACTAATCTCTTCGTCATCTGTGTTAGGATTAGAGTATTAATGAAATATAATTTTCTCATTATTTGACTCTAAAAATTGTTAAAATTTAAATTTAAAACGTCTAAATTTACAGTTCGTTTCTGTTAATACTTGAACTATCATTGAAGTTGTATTTGTAAGCATTCAATTCAGTGGATAGTTATCCTGGTATCCATTTCAATTCTTTTTAATTTCTCCATTATACCCAGCTTTTAAGCAAGTAGCTGAAGACAAATGATTATAGATACTTGACTCAAATCCGCTCAATACAAATTTTGCCAATTGAAAGTTCAGTCATCCATCATCCAAAACACACACGGAACTTCTTGCCACCAACAGGAACAAACCGTGTTCTAATCAATTAATCCTTATGTTCTAGCCACCTCATGATCACTGAATGCCCCAGAGAAATATAACTGTTGATCTAAATCATATGTATTTAAATAGCCGTGAATCCAACATACGTTGCGTATTGGCAAACAAACCTTCGATAACAAGAAAGGGATAAGTTAGAAGAATGTCGACGTCGTGTATGATATTTTCAACACTGAGAATTCGAAGAAGAGTCAAATGTACGGAATAAATTGAGCAGAAAAAAATCAAGGGTTCTTTGAAAATTGATACACTTAATTAGACTTATTTGACAAAAAATACATAGAACAAAATGTGATTTAAAAAAATATAAATGTCCATTTTAAGGTCATTTAATTCAAAATCTCTTATCTTTAATGCACATTGATTCATGTGTGTTTGTTAATATATATAAATACGTATTTAATACACCTTCATTCATGTGTATTTGTTAATATATATATATATATATATATATATATATATATATATATATATATATATATATATATATATATATATATTTGTTATTAAATCTCTTATTTAAATTTGTGATTTTATTTTCAAATTATATTTAATGCACATTGATTCAAGAGTTTTTTTTTTGAAAAATAATTTTATTTTCAAATTAATTTAATATCCGAATAATGTAATAGTATAAGAATAACAGTGTAACAAAAATACTGTAACAAAGACAGTGTAACAAATACACTGTAATAAAAACAGTGTTCAGTAATTTTGTGTATATGGTAACAAATTCAAAACGGAGATGGACCATTTTGAATGAAATTATATGAAACTATATGTTTGACAAAATGTAATAATACAATATTTTGTTATACTATTATTGTTATATTGTTACATTGTTAGTGTTATACTGTTACACTTTTATTGTTATACTGTTATTGTTACACGGTTACACTTTTTTTGTTACACTATTACACTATTCGGATATTAAATTAATTTAAAAATAAAACCACTTTCTAAAAAAAAATACTTGAATCAAGGTGCATTAAAAGATAATTCAAAATTTAGATATAAGATTTAACAACAAGTATATATATATATATATATATATATATATATATATATATATATATATATATATTAAAGTTCTTCCATAAAACTAAGAGATGTTTAATGCACCACTTTCCAATTAATGGAGGGCAAAAATAGATAAATTCAAATTATGTTCTTTGATACAAATAAGTATCAAAATTAAATACTTAATAACCCTATATTTTTTAGTGTGTACTTTTTACCAAATAAGTCTAATTTGGTGTACCCTCTTACAATTTACCCAACCTACACCTTAATTAGAAGCACCTTGGACTAGAGAGTGGGCCTCCAACCAGCCAACCCGCCTAATATTGGGGTTGGGCTATACTACTGTAGACTGAAAATATTTAGGATTGAGCCATGGGCCTATCTCTTGTTGGCCCAATTTGAAACTTTAACGTGTTAGACCGATCCGGCCCTAAAATGTATGCCGTCAGAATTTCACAGAGGCCGACAGTGTGTTCTAATCTTGAAGTGCGGTTCACATCGAGAGTTTTAGCACTCGGTGGTCAGTCCCATAACAAATCACTCTCTCTTTCCTCTCATAACTACTCACGCAGAACAGAACACGAGCCCGAGTGTATCAGTGGACCGTCAGACCAGAAATGACTTCAGCAATCAAAGAAGATAAGCAAAGTCTCTCTCTCTCTCTCTGAGTTGTGAATATAAGCAATTTGCAGGTATGCACGATTTTGTATGACTGTGAGCTAGTGACAAAGTTGGCTAAGAGAACGATTTATGTGACCTTTATAGGTTCTGTAGCTAAAAGAGTTGCTGTTGTTGGTGCTGGTGTAAGGTATGTTGATTAATGTCTGTATTATAGCTTTTGTTGGTTCTTGTGTTAGATATCATTGAGTTGCCCTGGACTTTAATTCGTTGATGTAGCATGTGGATTATTTGAACTGAACTCTGATATTCTATGGATCTGCCGGACTGCTCTATGAGTTGATTATCTCATTAGTTCTATACAAAGTGTAATCTCATTGCTTTTATTGTTTTCGAACATTGTGTCGTGGTTTAATTCTGAAGCTATGAAGGCCAAACTAATATTAAAATGCCGTTATCAAATTCAAGCACTTTGAATTCCATCCAAGATTGTACTGAATACATAGGAAATGCTGTAAACGGGAAAAATGGAAAAACCGAAATACGGGCGCAAAAAAAAAAATGAGGGAAAAAATGAATGGTTTAGAGCTTTGTTTTATTATTTATTTATATGTGCTGGAATTTTCGGATTCCTTCTTGTAGGATGTGCCATGGGTGTTTTTGTATGCGTTTTCCCATAGTTCATTTACGCATAGTTTCAGTTATGTCAAAAATTAGATAATTCTTTCTATTTTCTATTTTGTTGATATCTCCATTATTTTTTTGCCAAGCATCATTTTTCTAACTTTTTTATGTTGTTGCTGCAAAGGTTTTTCTTGTCTTGTCTAATTTCTTCACTTTTCTCTCTCTCTTTCTCTGAATGTGTGTCTCACACACTCACACAATTGGACAACTATTTCTTAATGTATTGTAAGTGTCATAATTATTTCCAAAAGTTGAGCTGATATTATCTAAAGATTTTTTAAGTGGGCTTGCTGCAGCATACAAGTTGAAATTACATGGTCTGAATGTCACAATATTTGAAGCTGAAGGGAGAACCGGAGGGAAGTTGAGAAGCATTTCACAAGATGGCCTAATATGGGATGAGGGGGCGAATACGATGGTATGTTCCCTGCTCTCATCATAGGTTTCTTCTCAATCTAGTGAAGCAAAATCATATCATCCTAACTAAATGTGAAACAAGCATTGTAATGCTTATGTGTTATATTGGGGTTTTGCAGACAGAGAGTGAACCAGAGGTCAAATGTTTGCTAGATGAACTTGGGCTTCGAGAAAAACAACAATTCGTGAGTGTTTTTCTGGCCACTGATAGATCGTAACTTGTGCATTTTCTACGAGCGAATACCGAAAACTGTATGATAGGCCATGGTTGTGTTTGATTTGTTTTCAGAAATTGGTCAATGTTATGCATGATCTTATATTTGGAACCTAGAGAAGATCATTCTATGCTTGAGATTCTGAACTGCTAATAACTATGGGTTTTGAGCTTATATTCTATTACTTTGAGAAAAAGCTTACTTTGCTAAACTGACTTTTTGTATCATTGAATATTGCAGCCAATTTCACAGAACAAGCGGTATATTGCAAGAAATGGGAAACCTGTAATGGTATAATCGGATTATTGCATATGCTGCTCATTTGATACCTTATTGATGCGTAAAAGATCACTTTGTGTTGGTTATGTTCTTTTGCTTTATGTACTTGGAGTTCTATGCCTTTTACCTTTGCCCGTTCAAAATTTTCATCTCAGATACCCTCAAATCCCATTGCACTGATCAAAAGCAATTTTCTTTCTACACAATCAAAGGTAATTTCTGACTCCATGAACCACTCACATTGAAGATTTTCATACTTTTTTTTTTCTGTAAGATTTTCATACTTAGTTTGTCATATTGCAAGGTTTTTAGGGTTATTACACTCATATAACATATGACGTATCGTTTTCGATCTGCAATTCAGATATGAAAACGCCTCAATCAGGCCACTGATAGGATATACATATGGCAAGCACATAGTGAGCACATGTGATGTAAATGTTCATTCTATCGTAATACATGTGCATGCATAAGCATAACTGTTCTTCTTGAAAACGAGAAGCAAGGCCCTCCGAATACAACATTTTATTTCGGTATGGCCTCCTTTTCTATGTAATTTACTTGTCTAGTTTTGCTTTGGCACCCTGGGTCAACCTTTCTTTCTACCTCTCAATTCTAAGTAATCATTCTTTCTTTCTACTGATTCTGATAAAACTGACTGTAAGTAAATCGATATATGTGTTAACATAGTATACAACTAATGCAAGGGATTTACTGTATCAATCATATTTCATTCGTTCATGTCTTGAGCAGAGTGACAGAGGAATGGGGCATTGTTTCCATTTTTTTTTTTGTGATATGTAGCAGAGTCTAATCATAATGCCTGCAACATAAAGGGTTTTTGAAAACAGTCACAAATCTCTTCAGGCAGATCACATGTTGAATATATTATTTTTCCTTCAACTTACGGAATGTACAATCCCGGCACCTGGTTTCTTTGTTGCATAAGCATCAAATCCAATTTTTTTTAAACAATCAGATAATTGAACCTAATTGCTGTGGAAGCAAATCGTTGAAAACTCAATGATTTGTGAGATGCAAACATACTGACCAAGTAGAAGATATAGCACTGCACATTAAAATGTTACTTCCTTTGCAGCCCATTGTCACCTGATAACAGCAATGACTTTAGAATTCTTATGTTCTGTAATTCAAAGCAAACTGCCTTGATGAAAGATGCTTTGCTGCACGCTGTGTGCCATTAGGAACTCCAATCTTGACCTTTTTCAGAACTCTAAAGTTGGGCTAACGTAAATTTTTCTCATTCTCTATCTTTTTCACACACTGGGACAGGCAACTCCTGTAATGGGCTATTTGTGGATCTGTTGTGAATGTTTGCTGGAATGGTGGTAAGGTGACCATGAAAAGTTACTCTATTAACAACTTGCAGTAAAATGTCCGCCTGTTAGAATCATGTTTTGCACTGATCGGAATTCTAGAAGTTTTTTAGGAGGAGGGAATCAATTCTTATCTTTAAGAGTCCTTTCTGAACTAAGAAGATAAATGACCAATTGCAGGAACAGGAACCCTGGTTATAACTTGTGTTCTTGTGCTCCACACCCTCCCTCTTTTACATTTGTTATGTTGCTTAAGCTTCAAGCTGTATAGGGATCTTTCTAAGCTGTTGTAAAAGTGCATCTATGTGATTGCAGTTTCAAATACTTTTGGAGCCATTTTTTTGGAAGAAAAGTGACTTCTCCAAGGTGTCTGATCCTCAAGAAAGGTGGTTAATCCTACTTTGCCCTATCATCAAACTTCTTTGCTGTTGCTATGCTTCAATCTTGCGTATCTACACTTTCATTTTATACACTCATGACTCCGGATTAAGTGCCTGGTTGATGATGTTAATATGTTTATGTTTTTGTGTATTCACATGTCCGTTCACAAACATTATCATAGTGAATAAATGATTAACTTCCTCCGGTATTTTAATCCATCCTCAAAATTGGTGAGATAATTTAGTTGAAATGATTGGTTTGAAGACCAAGGCACACATTATTATAGTTAGAGGAAAAAGTGTTGCGCCTTGTTTATATACGTCCAACATCTTGTTAATTTTTCGAATTGAAATTATTTACAATTAGCTCTGAAGAAAAGCATTTCGCCTAGAATGCTTTTCATGTCGTGCATATCTAGACAGTTATTCTTTATTCTCTCTAGATCGTAGTTTTGATATTATTTATGAAAAAACAAACCTGTGGTTACAAGACAACTGTCCATAGTAAAGCTATGGGTACTTCACTATACCGATCACCGTTCAATTCATATGCTTATTGTCTATGGACAGAATGATTACCCATTTTGGCCTATGTGTTTTTTGCTCAAGATGATTTGTGGGTTTTATGTGGGAAAATGAGTTGATTTTGAGTTTTGACTCTATACGGCTGCATAATATATCTGCATATTTGAAAAAGTTAATCTCTTTTGTGAAGGTCCAATCGGAATTCTTCCTTAAAAGTTCATTTGTACTTTCTGCTTTTCTGGTTTTTCATACCTTTGTGACCTCTCGCTGCTGCTCTCGATCTTCTATTAACAACATCCATTTTAGTTGGGACTACTAAACGATCCAAGTAGCTCGTGTTTCTCTTAGGGCTCAACTTGTTTTCTGGCTCATTTAATGTCCCTTGTTTTACATGATAAGACATTTGCACAGCTTTTCAAGTTTTGCTGGACAACTTTTGACTATTTAACACATGCACACTTGAACATATCTCACTCCCTATTTCTCTATCATCTATATTCTATTAGTCTAAGCCTCCCTCTCTCTCTCTCTCTCTCCCTCCCCCTCCTCTCTTTCTTTCTCTCTCCCCCCTTCAGTCTTGCGACCGTTTCCACGGTCCTCTCCTCCCTCTTTTGAGTTCCCTCTCTTTGTTTTAGCAATGCATCACACCCCTTCTCTTATGGATCTAGCTTTCAACTGAATGAACACAACATTGTAAGAGGTTTTTCTTCTTCTTCTCTTTCTTTTTTCTTTTTTATTTGGTTTTGGATCTTCTTGCTGGTTGGCTGCCCCTTGCACATCGGTCTTCTCACTAATCTCTTCTTTGTGGTTGTAGGGAAAGTTGAAGTTCTAGGTTGAGTTTTATGGTTTATTATGCATATTATTTGAGATTTTGCTGTGAAATTGGGTGCTCTAGGGTTTGATTTTTGGAATTTTGACTGACGTTAAGCTCATGTTTGGCTCAAATTTCACTTGAAAGCTCACGAAGCTGAGCTTGAACAAAACTTTTAACTCACAGTCGAGCTCGAGCCAAATCGGTCCATGCATAGCCGAGCCGAGCTTGAGCATACTTGTGCTTTAGGAGCTCGGCTCATGATGCAAAATACAAGTAGTTTATTCATTTGCTAATGTTCTGTATGTACAGTCCAATTCTATACCAAGGGAGCTTTTATACATATTCCATCTGCATTTACTTATCTTGCATTAATCAATTATGATGCAGGTGGCCTGCCGACTTTTTTATATATTATTCTTCTCTCAATTTTTTCCTTGGAAATTAAGCAACAAATCTTTTCACATTAAACATGGCATTGACGTGTAGGTTGCCAATTGTTTTTCTGCAGTGTAGCTGGATTTTTTCAGCGTCATTTTGGGAAAGAGGTAATGGGATTCCTTGTTTTAGTTTGATGTGTATTTTCTCCTTAGATTCCTGATGTCAATAAATGGCATTTTTTCTGGTTTGTCTAATGCACTAGAGCATTTCTTCTTGAGGCTTTTGCTGTAAATATTTCATGCTGCTTTTGTCTTTATCCTTTTAGGTTGTTGAATATCTAATTGACCCTTTTGTCGCGGGTACAAGTGCTGGAGATCCTGAGTCACTTTCAGTGAGCATCTATTTATTATGTTCTTACCCATATTGTTATTTTCTATCCTGCAAGAATATTTGTGGTGGCTCTTTTTGAAGAGAGCTTTTCCACCCATTATCCATTGGTTTTGGGTTGGATGCTCGACATGTTTCAGAACTTGACTTTGGGTAGTAGTTGGTGGACTAAGTCTTTCACCCAATTGAATTTATCAGTCTCGGTTCAGCTCCAATTTGTTTGTTTGTCTATCTATTTCAGTTCGGTTTGTTAGCTAATGTGCGAGTCCTAGTCGAACTTGAGGGAGGGTGTGAAGAGAGCTATTCCACATCAGAAAATTAAGTAGACTGTAGACCCAATGTTGGTTTATATATTAGAGGGACCACCCCACCCATTGCCAATTGGTTTTGGATTAAAAACAAATGATATTGCACACAAATCCCTTCAAAGATGAGATTTTAACTTGTACTGCCTTGAAATTTAACGTTATCTGTTCCTAGATGAAATCTAAGAAAGAAGGGAAAAAGCTCACAATATTCTCTATGCTCTTATTGTTAGTGTTAAGTTACTGAGTTGCTTTTATGAGCCACTGATTGCATGTTAACCCATTGACCTACCAAATTACATCTGATACTGTGAAATTTGATTCTTTCATTCTCCTAACAGATGTGCCATGCATTTCCAGATTTGTGGAATCTAGAGAAAAGGTATGCAAATTATGAAGTTACTTTCCGGTATAGTTATATATGTTTGTGATCATAATTCACGTGGATATGCCTATTTAATTGGGTAAAACATCCCACGTGTGCTTGGTTTAGCATGTTTAGTGCATTATTATTATCTATGGTATGCGTTTGAGTGGGACAATGTACTTATGTTAACTTTTTCTGGGTTCAGTTGTGGTGACTCACCCTTATTCCTGAACCTTGCCATTTGGACATTGTTTCTTGCCGGATGGACACAGAAAGATATAGAGCCTGATTAAAAAAAAAAAAAAAGACTTCACAATTTATTTGAATTTTGGAATACTTATTTAGGTTAAGCTAGTGCACACCTATTGTGATTTTAGGTTCAGTTTGATGAAATTTGATATCACTCTCAATTGCAGATCTATCTCATTTTTGTTGGGGTGTTATGACAAATGAAAATCTTCTTGTTTATTGAACTAATGTAGTCCCATAGACAGTAATAATTGTCCCTGAGCAGAAGCTCCTCTTACTGCTGCGGATTTGTGCATTTTATAGCAGATAAAAAATAAGACTTTGCCATGCCATCAGGTTCGGTTCAATAATATCTGGGGCATTTCAATCGAAGTTAACTGCCAAAAGGGAGAAAAGTGGAGGAAAGAAGGATTCAACAAATAAGAAGCAACAGCGTGGTTCTTTTTCATTTTTGGGTGGAATGCAGGCAAGGATTGGTGGCTTTTTTATGGATTCATATGTTCCTGTTGTGTCTTCTCTTGTGCTAATATTCATCTCAAGATTCTCATTTTTGGTTCATTTATTTTTTGTACTTGTTTTTAAAATTGCTGAACCTTCAGCCGGATGTTTATAAACACTTTAGCAGAGATCCCTCTGGTCAGGACAATAAGAAATGAAATTTGTTGAATTCATCTATTGTAGAACAGCTTACAAAAAAATTAATGAATGACAGTTCATGGACTACCAATGGCTGTCAGAACATTTGGTTACATTGTATGCCTTTTTATGAAATTTCTGGTTCTTGTTTTGTGATAATTGTACCTTTTGCAGACACTTACTGACACTTTATCCAAAGAACTTGGCAAGGATGCACTTAAACTTCAATCGAAGGTTCTCGAGTTATCTTGGAGCTGCAATGAGAACTCTCCAACGGATAATTGGTCAATTGCCTATGCTTCAAATCATACCAATAACTCAGAAGAGCAATCTTTTGATGCTGTAGTCATGACGGTGAGTGCATTCCATATTTGAGTATCTTTTTGTTGGCATTGCACAAATATTTGTTATATTCTAAAAAGTGATGCGTTACTCTCTTTATGGGCATATATTTCACACTTGTAGTATACAGAGCACTTGACCAGTAGATTCTTGCAGAAAGTAATTTGTATGCATGCACACACATGAACATATCGTGTAGATGCAATTGCAACACCCTATAATTTTTAGTTCTGCTTATGTGTAGATACAATTGCAACACCCTATATTTTTTAGTTCTGCTTATGAAGGAACATTATTTTTTGCTGACAACGAGCTCCTTTAAATTAGGCTCCACTCAATGATGTAAGAGAATTGAAGATCACAAAAAGAGGAAATCCATTTCCGCTGGAATTTCTCCCTGAGGTATGTGTTTGTTTGGTTTTACTAAAAACATGTTGTGACTTGTGAGCATTCTAAACTGTGTGTGAAGATTAATTGTTTTATGAAGTCACAGAGTTTATATTGTGTCAATAAAGAGAGATGTGCACCTGGACATAGCAAAAGAGTACGTGACTATGTTCAGAATGCAATCATGCATAAATGCACAAAGACATCTATAAGAATCTAGTTGCTATATATCCATACATGTGTATACATATATTTATTTATTTATTGAGTAAATATACCCAGTCATTATGCTTTCAACGTGTGTGATGTTTCATGAATAGCAAGCAGTTGTTTCTATCGAAGTGAACAGTTTAATGTGAGCAACTTTTATGATGTACTTACAACCTGCCACTTTTAGTTCTACTCCATTTTTTTCCAGTGGCTCAGCTGGGAAATTTATTGGATGAACTTCATTAAATGGCTTTGTGATTACAATCAAGACATTTACTAAAGAATATATTTGTATTAATAGCTAAGAAAATATGCCTGTGTAGATAGGAAGCAGACAACAACAGAAAGCTGCTAACTTTTATATGGTGTACGTCAGCTGAGTCAGTGGCATATCTTGTCAATAATGCAGGTGAGTTATCTGCCAGTATCTGTTATAATCACCACATTCAAGAAGGTGAATGTCAAGCAACCTCTTGAGGGATTTGGAGTTCTTATACCTTCCAAAGAGCAGCAAAATGGTTTGAAGACTCTGGGTAATGCTTAGCTATGCCCTCTAAGGTTAACTAATTATAGTCCCAATATTGTCACTATAGATTTTCTGTGATGCAGGAACTCTCTTCTCTTCTATGATGTTTCCAGATCGTGCACCCAGTGATGTATACCTTTATACCACCTTTGTTGGTGGAAGTCGGAACAGAGAATTGGCAAAGGCTTCAAAGTATAAACATCCTCAATTCTTGTGCTTTTGTTGATTGTCTTGTATATTTACTTTTTCCCATCTTTTTTGCATTTATTAATTACACTGTTAATGTGTGAGTTTGTTACTTCTTGTGTCTTTTTCATTTCATTGTGGTTATAGGGATGACTTGAAACAGATAGTAACTTCTGACCTTAGACAGTTGTTGGGTGCAGAGGGAGAGCCGACATTTGTGAAGTATGTAAATTGTTAATGCTGTGCATTTGTGATTTCATTAATTTATAGGCTTTAGTCTGATAGGCTTTTTGAATATCTATTACATATTTATGTTCTTACATGTTCTGTGCTTCTTTGCAGTCACTTCTACTGGAGTAAAGCATTTCCCCTCTATGGGCGTAACTATGATTCGGTTATAAAGGCAATTGAGAAAATGCAAGAAAACCTTCCAGGATTCTTCTATGCAGGTAAGTTATTTTCTCTGTTCGAGGAGGCAGCTTCTGATTTACACCAAGTTTAGGATAAAAGAAACTTTGAATAGGATGCAAGTTTTTTCAACCTCCAGCTTGTTGAAGGCAATTTAGACCTTGCACACTCTGAAAACTGAACTTGTTATATATGGACTCATCAATACCATTTTAAAACAATTTGTTCGACTTACAGGGAATAATGAATAATCTACTGCATCCTCTCTTCATTCTCTAGTTGTGTTACCAGATATGGTTACGAGGAAATAGGAATGTACATATGCTTTCATCATGACCTGGGCATAACTATAATGTTGCCAAAAAAATTACAAGCTGATGACTAAATAGTAATTTTAGTACTCTTAGCCTTAATTTCCTTTTTGTGCTTGTGATTCCTAATTTCTAGGCCCCTTCTTTTCCAAAAGAGTAATTGCTGTTATTTGTTACAATCCTAGTCTAATGTAAACCACAAAATTGTTAGGTAACCATAAGGGAGGACTGTCTGTTGGCAAAGCAATAACTTCTGGGTGCAAAGCAGCTGATCTTGTAATCTCATATTTGGATTCTTCTTCAGATAACAAGTTGCTCTAGAAAACCTGTCCCTGAAGATTTGGCAAGGTATGATTATTGTTTGGTGTTTAGGCTGTTTTACTTTCTGTTTCCTGTTTTCTTTTGCAGTCTTCTCCTTCTTTTTTTTTTTTGAAGCCTATAAGATTGGTTGTTATTACTTCTACTTTCAAGGTTTCTCCTAATATGAGCTGAAACAAAATGCGAGTTGGTGGTCATTCCTCATACATTTGTTGGTGGTCATTCCTCATACTTTGGGATAAAAAGTAGCTTGCCTCCAGAGGTGAAGCGAGATTGACATTCAAGGGCTTGACTTGAGTACCGGCTAGTATTATTTTGACTTGACCTGGTGTCAGAAATACTTATTCTTTTCTTGTTTCGAAATTAACTGTGATCTGTGCCAAAATAATACTTTTCCATTGGACCCGAAGGCAAAAAAAAAAATTTATAAAATCTCATATTATGTTCTAATGTTTAACTTATAGTACTAATGGGTCCCCAGTGAGTAGCGAGTGTCTTCTTTGCTGCATTTTTACACTCCACCTTTGTGGAGCATCTACCATTCAAAATGCTGATGAAGTTCGTGAGTTCTAATAATGCTGGTAGGTTGTTTTTTTGAAGCATGAACGCTTCACCAATGGATAAGCCTTTTGCCCTCTTCTGTTTGTGACCAAATAGCTCTAAAAGATAGTTCCCTTCCCCGCCACACACACAAATCTCAACCCGGGACCCACTGCCCACACTATACCAGCTGGCAATTTTATTAAATTGATACGAAATTAGTGGATATGGATCTTAAATCAATGGGACTATCAAATTTTTTAAGTAAATAGGTTGATTTGAATTCAATTAAATACTATACGAACTTGAATGAACATGATTAAATATAGTTTATACACAACACAAATTAGATTATATACGATGATAAATAGATTGTGTATAAATAAAATATAGTTTAAAAGTATGAGATGAGGCATTGTCAATTCTATGTCAAACGTCACACCCATATGATCTATTAAACTAGATTAGTATATCTCTTGTAATAAAATATCTTGGTCTATGGAGTCCCAAAAGGGCTATAATGCTAATTTGTCTAATGTTTCTTCGGTCAAATACATATATAAGTGAGACTTGTACTATGAGCAAGCTGTGCGATTTTTTTTTTTTTTTCGAGTTTTGAAACAACGTGGGTGAGATGGGATTGTAGTTAGGGATGACAGTGAACCGAATACAAATGAGTATTCGTTCAAATTCGTTCTGTTTAGACTGGGGATGAATCATACGTATTAAACGATAGACGTATACGGAGGTACCCATATAAATCCGTGCGAAGACGAAAGCAGGGATGAACTGACATTTACCCCGGTCCCATCTCGGCCCTGCCCTGCTCCGCCCCTCTCCGCTTTATCCGTTATTATTATTATTATTATTATTATTATTATTATTATATACATGTTGTGAATACAAATTTACATATTATTAAATAAATTTTTTTAAAAAAATTGTTTTGTTTTTTTTTTAATGGTTTTGGCTTATAAAATTGTATATCTTTGTGTATTTGTATTTTTTTATGTTGGATTATCTTATGTTACATTATGTTATGTTGTATAATATTGTGTTGGATTTAAAAGGAAGACAAATTTTTAATTATATTATTTTAAATTATGTTTTAGACAATTTTTTGATTATATTTATGTTATAAATGACAAATTTTTAATTATGTTATAGAATTTTATAATTATGTTGAATTATTTAGAATATTAGATTTATTTAGAATTTTGAATTATATTGACTTGGGCTTGGGCTTGAGTGCGTAAAGTGAACGAGGGGTGGAGTGGAGGTGAAGGTGGCGGACGAAGCAGGGATTACAAATTTATTTACAGATGAGGATGAAGATGAAAATTATACTCATTAACGAGGTGAATTAGGGATGGACACAGTTTTTTTAAGCTAATACAGGAATGAAGATTACACCTTTCTAGGGCTGTCTGGCCTGGCCCGCGAATTTTTTTTTAGGCCGGGCTTGGGTAGTATAAGCCCAAGCCCGTACTCGGGTGAGTGGCAGGCCGGGCTTCGGGTAGGGGTTAGCTACTCGCAACCCAGCCTGTCACTTATTAGGCGAGCTTTTCTGGGTGGGTTTGTTGGACCTTATTGAAAAAATTCAAGCCCTTTTTTAAAGGATATTGGGTTCGGGCTTAGGCGGGTCAACTATCGGACTTATTTTTTCAGATCAGGTAACGAGATCCGTGGGTAACTCGGCCCATTGACACCCCTACACCTTTCGTCTCCACTACGGTCCACTGCTATCTTTAGTTATAGTCTTGTAGATGGAAAAAAAAAAAAAAAAAAACCTCTTCATGGTCTTACACTTTCGGACAATAGTGATATGGTTTGTATGTTGAATTTGAAGTGGTAATCTTCTTTATTCCTGGGAATCATTGTCTGTTTTTGTCTCTTGTTTCCATCCTAAAATCGTACGAGTTACTTTCCACATGACCGTTAATAACGTGCACGGTACCTAATATTCCTCTGTAATATACTAATGACCATGCCAAAATTTCATTGGATCCAAAGTACCTGCTCTACATTTAGAGACAAGCCATGATGCCTATATGATTTGTTAATCTTTCTCGATGTTGGCATGATAATCTACTTGTGATGAGAAAAAGATATAATTCATCCAACAAATGTCTCTCATCAAGTGTCGATTAAAACTCTATTCGATAAATCTCTACTCAATCAATTCGTTGTGTTCAATTGAAACACAAGAAAAATAGGTACACATCCTCTTATATTAACTCAAATATCAAAAAATTTAAAAAAATATAGTGCTTGACAATATGAATAGAGCTATGCGACTCAACATACTATCGTATGCGGTGCAAGTCTTGAAGTCTGAAATAAAAATACTTTACTTATCAAGAAAATTTAATCTACAACCAATGATGCATCAGCGTTATCTCAATACTATTAAAGTCATTATATGTTTTCTTCTGCCTTATGTTTCATTTGGGGGCAGAGTTAAATCCAATATCGACTCCCTCACTCTTCAATTTCTTTCCGTTTCAGTCCTAAAATTAAATAGGCAAAAGGTAGGATGCAGCCCCTTTTTTAAAAGCAAAAAAAAAAAAAGTGAACCCCTACCCTGAAATCCCTCCTAATTCAATCAAGACGTGGGTCCCTTCGAATCATATAAAATGTGGATTTAAGAATCTTGACTGATTAATCACAAGGTGCCAAAATCGAAACAAAATAAGTGTAACCCCCACCAGGTTAAATTGGACCCCCCCAAATCCCTCTTTGTCTGTGCTGAAAAGCACTCGTTGATTGCTCCATTATAATCAATCACCCAAACTGGTATTGTGCTTTTTAGGGGCGTGATTTTGTATTATTTACCAGAAGCCCCACCCTAATGTGGAAGAGACTGCTCTGTTCACTTTATTTCTATGCAATGTCAAATTAACTAACTCAAATTCAATACGAGTTTATCTCAAAAGGAAGATGCTTTGTTAATCTAATGACATAGAATAATAAAGTTGCTAAATAAGATCTATGTTGTATTACCCATCTCAAAATATTTAGTATTTGGATAATTTGTGTTTGATATTTAGGTTGGATTAAAACAAAAAAATTTCAACCCAAATTTGAATTCGGATAACACTAGGGTTAGGACATTGGATTATCGGGTTCAAATCCAACTTAAATTATAATTGTGATTTCAGTCAAAGCTAAACCTGAATTTTAGTTTGAGATGTATTACTGAAAATTAAATTCAAGTTCAATTCAAGCTAAACTCAAATTTTGTATGAATGAATTTGAATTCTAACTCCATTAGTATAATAATGAAATCTAAAATAAATCAAATTTCAACTTAAGCTGTGTAATTTGAGTTAAGTTTAAGTTCAAAATTTTAAACTTGGACAATGGGTTCAGGTTGAATTTAAGAGCAGAGTTCAGCCCATGATTGCTATTTATAACTCACATTTTGTCATCAAATTAATCTCAAAATCCACCCAATTTACCGGAGTTACATACGCTCCCTAATTTAGGGAATGAAATATATTTCAACATACTTTCTCTTCAAGACACATCAGTTATCATGTACTTATATGAGACTCATTGTATGTAAGCGAGTCTCTCATTCTTTAATAATAAATGATATACTTTAAAGAGAAAATATGCTGAAGTTGATATCTATCCTTATTTTAGATTGGCAACCTAGTGATTAATCAAACAGACACGCGACCTAAGTGAGAGTGGCCGTAATCGGATTCTAAAAGTTTGAAAAAGGGGTTTCTTTCTTTCTTCTGTTACGTGGTCTCATCTCAGGCTCTCATGTTCAGGAGTACAGGCTGTACAGTGGGCTGTGGGCCCTGCTGTTTGGAGCCATGGACCCATCTGCCACAATCAGCCCAACTTCCAACAATATCCTCTACCTTTTTTACCTGGTCAGAATTTAGCCCTTCCTTCTACTAGTTGGATTACTTGCCTCAAGTTAGCCGTTAAGCTGGCAGCGATGTGATTGGCTACAATATTTTATTTTTGGTATTACTAAAAATAAATGTGATATTTTTCAAACATACCAATATCATCCTCCCATCCACGTTTCAAGGTGGGAAAATTAAAATTCGTTCAAAATAGATAAATAAAAAAAAAAAAAGGTGTTCTCAGAAACTAGAAAAGCTGATTTTTTTTAATTGGGTTTATCATATTATTATATAATGGTTCAATAAATTTAATTAATAAGTCACCAAACCACGTGGGGTTGTGTACTTGGATAAATAGTAATCCCGAATATAAGGGATTCGATTCTTACTAATATTTTATAGTTTTAATTGATACCTCGAGTTTGTACGTAATTGTAGGTATTACTACCCAAAAATAAGTGGAAAGTGGCTATGTTCCATTAAAAAATAATAATAAAAAGAGAGAGGAAAGACACATATGATGGCATACCTGTAATTTCAAATCAATTTTAGGATATAGACGACAATCAACAGTAAACCGGAAACAGACAAATTGCTCATCGGTTTTTTTATTATCTCCCCACTAGTCCGTAGTTCAGTTATCCCTTCCATTCTCCTTCATTAGCAGAAAGAATCTTGTCCTCTGCGAGACAAACTGGAACCGACCCCATCAATGTCAGAGACCTCGGCGATAAATACTCGACCACCACCACCTTCTTCAATGTTACCACTAGTAAATGCTTCTGTCTGTGACTCTGTTCTCAACTACCCCAATTTAATCCACTTTTTTTGATCCTACAACACAGATATCCAAGTATTCATAGCAACCCACTGGTACCCAACACCTTCTAAGGGTTTCTCTGTCTACAACTGTCTCTGGTTTTTCTCTCTTTCGGTTTTATCTTGTTCTCAACTTTATTGGAAAACATATAAGAAAAACATTCTCTGGGTGAGTACCATAAGTTGTTTCTTTGTGTCCCCTTGTTTTTGTTTCCTGGGATTTTGACCACATTTGCTCCAAGCATTCAATATCATCCGATAAGCACGCGTTGCTTGTCTTCCCATTTGAATTTCCTTCCCTCTCTGGCATGTTCTTGTATTTAGGCCTTTAATGGTTTTTCAATTCTGTTTTAATTGTACTGTTAAAGTTGAGTTACTAGCCTGTACTACATTTTAGGCGAAGTCAATGGAACTGCTACTTTCCTGGGGTTTTATTAAGCACTTTGAAATATAAGGGCCATTACTTGCAACTTGTAAAATGGGGAGTTCAAGCTTGTTTGCGATAGTGTTTCTTTCATGGGTTTTCTTTATCTCAAGGACAAATCAATTACAAACTTATGAATCCCAAGTTCTTCTCCAGCTGAGGAAGCATTTGGAGTTCCCTGTGCCATTGGACATATGGGAAAATTACAATGGTGATTTGTGTAACTTGGCTTCAACCCCTCATATGAGCATCACATGCCAAAACAATTCTGTCTCCGAGCTCAAAATTATGGGAGATAAGCTTGGCAAGGTTAGTGAATTTTATGGATCTGCAGTTCCCAACCAAACCTTATCCAAGAGTTTCTCCATTGATTCATTTGTCACTACCTTGACAAGGCTAACTAGCTTAAGGGTCCTTGGCTTGGTGTCTTTGGGGATTTGGGGTCCCCTTCCTGATAAAATTCATCGGCTATATTCGCTTGAAGTTTTGGATATGAGTTCAAATTTTATGTTCGGTTCTATTCCTCCTCAGATATCTAGACTAGTGAAACTTCATACTTTGATATTTGATGGGAATTTCTTCAATGACACTGTCCCTGATTGGTTGGATTCACTGACAAACCTCACTGTTTTGAGCTTGAAGAACAACCGGTTGAAGGGTCAGTTTCCTTCCTCAGTATGCAGAATTATGACACTCACTGGCATTGCTTTGTCTCACAATGAGCTTTCTGGTAACTTGCCTGATATGAGTACCTTATCTGGTTTACATTTGCTGGATTTAAGGGAGAACCATTTGGATTCTGAATTACCTTCCTTGCCCAAAGGATTGACTACTGGTCTTTTGAGCAAGAACTCGTTCTCAGGTAAGATTCCAGAACAATTTGGGGAATTATATCAGCTTCAGCACCTTGATCTATCAAACAATTTTCTCACTGGAACACCACCGGACGTGTTATTCTCTTTGCCAAACATCAGCTACTTAAATTTGGCATCCAATAAGCTAAGTGGGTTACTTCCTAACCATTTAAGTTGTGGGGATGAACTTGGGTTTGTTGATATTTCTTCTAACAGGTTGGTAGGTAGACTTCCTTCTTGCTTGGATACTACTTCAAATAATAGAATTGTTAAGTTTGGTGGAAATTGCTTGTCCATTGACACCCAACATCAGCATCCAGAGTCATACTGCAAAGAAGCCAATATGGAGAAGGGACGATCAAGGGGAGAAGCAATAGGGGTATTAGTTGGTGTTATTGGGGGTTCTGTAATTATTATGGTACTCTTGGCACTTGGGCTTATTATTTTGTGCAGGAGATATCGCTCACGAGGGTGCATGGAGCAGCATACATCACCAAAGATTGTGCAAGATAATTCCACTTCGGGGATTTCCTCTGAATTCCTTGCAAATGCCAGTAAGCAGTACTTGGAGTATAATGTAGTTTCTTTTCGCTATAGTTGAAATTGCACATTATGTCCTGCTCTAAAGGACACCAATTTCACATACATTCCTTCACTTTCCTATTTGCTTCAGGGATCATATCTCAAGCAGCAAAATTAGGGTCACAAGGTTCCATAGCAGGTCGAGTGTTTCCCTTGGAAGAATTAGAAGAAGCCACGAACAATTTTGATCAGTCATCATTTTTGGGTGAAGGCTCAATTGGGAAGGTACCTTTCGAAAAATCTAATAAGACTTATCGACTATTAAATCCTTTCATGATGGTGTTTCTATTGTTCTGGCACTCACAGTGACAACATGAGTGTGTTATTTATCATTATGAAAAGTTGAAAACCAACGACGAATCATAACAAAAAAAAGAGGGAACATATGATGTGTGAATGTGAGTCTCCATACATAATATTTGAGTGAACATAGTTTTGTTTCTTTTGTATTGTGGTTCTTGCTTTTATATGATATGATCAAGGACTTCTTTCTTCTGGACATATGATATGACTACTAACTTATGCTATAACTGCTGCATGATAAATGATTACATAGGACAGTTATTTAGTCTACTAACATTTAGCTTTGATTCCTAAGGACCTGTATATAACATTCTTTCTTCATCTTTTCAGCTTTACAAGGGGAGATTAGAGAATGGGACTTATGTTGCAGTTAGATCTCTTACGTTGCTCAGAAAATATTCAATTCGAAACCTTAAAATGCGGTTGGATCTGCTTTCAAAGCTTCGCCACCCACATCTGGTTAGTCTTTTGGGACATTGCATTGATGGTAGTGGGCAAGACGAATCTACTGCCAGTAGGGTCTTCCTCGTGTATGAATATGTGCCAAATGGGAACTTCCGAGCTCATCTCTCAGGTCAGCGAAAACACAAACCTACACTTAGCTTTCTTATACAAAAGAATGTCTGTACAGAAGTGTATGGGCATATGCATAAACAGAGGTAACAGGATGGTGGAACAGGATTTCTTGGGCTCACTAATGGCTTGGCTGGGTTACAACAATGCACAAGTATGTGTGGAGGGGCCAAATTGCCGAGCATGTATTTTGAACCCTAACTTAGATATTTGGAACAATGCTTTGTCGAGTTGAGTTGAAATTTATTATGACTTTATGTGGTGGGAGTTTTCAAGCTGAGAAAACCCATTTGGGCCAGTTTAATTGCAAATTTGTAGCTGTCTCAAAGCTGTACCTTAAGAGGAAAAGCTGCAGCTATTCTAAGATGGGTTTACATGCTCTAACCCCAACCCTCCCTTCCTAGGACTCCTCCCTTCATACATAATTAAGAAGAACTGTAATGGTTCAAAAGGATGTGTATGGGTTAGGTAACATGATTTTGTTCTTTCATTAGTTTGTGCTTGTAAGGGGTAGAACCCTCTACTAAGGATTTCGGCTTGACCTGGGTTAACCAACGCGGGCGACCCCCAGTAGCCTTTACCTCTCAGTGGGTACCTTCTCCTTTGAGTGAGAGTCTCTCCCCCCCGGGGGGATAAGACTTCACTCGAAGGAGAAGGTACCCACTGCGCACTGATCAGGTGGCTACTGGGTCCTCCTCCTTGAGTGCAGGGTTAATGCGAGGGGGGAGAAATCTCAGTCGATGTGGGACGAAGCTCCTGCCACTGAGAGGTAAAGGCTATTTTTGTAAGGGGTAGAAATCGTTACGGATCTCATCCCTCCACTTGAAGGATTCCGGCTGACCTGGCGGCACCGAGCCCCAGTAGCCTTTACCTCTCTTCGCCAATAGTTCTAAGGCAATCCTACATCGGAAGAGAGTCGTCTCCCCCCCTGCCATATAAGTGAACACTTCCTATGGAGGGGTACCCACTAGCGACTTGATCAGAGGTGCCTAGTGGGTACCCGATGTGGGATTGCCTTATAAAAGGGTCCTATTGGCGAAGAGAGATAAAGACTAGTGAACACTTCCTATGGAGGGGTACCCACTAAGAGGTGCCTAGTGGGTACCCGATGTGGGATTGCCTTATAAAAGGGTCCTATTGGCGAAGAGAGATAAAGACTAGTGAACACTTCCTATGGAGGGGTACCCACTAAGAGGTGCCTAGTGGGTACCCGATGTGGGATTGCCTTATAAAAGGGTCCTATTGGCGAAGAGAGATAAAGACTAGTGAACACTTCCTATAGAGGGGTACCCACTAACGACCTGATCGGAGGTGCCTAGTGGGTACCCGATGTGGGATTGTCTTAGAAAAGGGTCCTATTGGCGAAGAGAGGTAAAGGCTACTGGGACTCGGTGCCGTCAGGTCAGCCGGAATCCTTCAAGTGGAGGGATGAGATCCGTAGCGATTTCTACCTCCATAGGAAGTGTTCACTTATATGGCAGGGGGAGACGACTCACTTCCGATGTGGGATTGCCTTAAAAAAGGGTCCTATTGGCGAAGAGAGATAAAGGCTACTGGGGCTCGGTCCGATGTGGGATTGCCTTAGAAAAGGGCCCTATTGGCGAAGAGAGGTAAAGGCTACTGGGGCTCGGTGCCGCCAGGTCGGCCAGAATCCTTCAAGTGGAGGGATGAGATCCGTAGCGATTTCTACCCCTTACAGTGGTGTAGAATTTATACCCTTGTTGGCACTTGTGGCCTGCTGAAGTAAGAAACCCATTGAGAAATTCAGTCTATAACCGTTTACCTTTCATAGCTTCCTCTGTCATCTAGAAAGTCCTTATAATTGAATGAGTTCCAATTGAACTCCATTTTTGTCTGCAGAAAGCTGTCCAGAGAATGTTCTTAAGTGGTCAGATAGACTGGCTGTTCTGATCGGTGTTGCCAAGGCTGTACACTTTCTACATACAGGGGTTATTCCTGTTTGTTTCAGCAACCGACTGAAGACAAATAATATATTTCTTGACGAGCATCGGATTGCAAAGCTGAGTGACTATGGGATGTCCATCATTACAGAAGAAATCGAAAAACCTGAGGTATTTACTTTTTCAAATATCCAGATTACTTTGGTGACGTGATAATAATTTCTTGGTTTCAAGGGCTATATCTGACATGTGTACTATTTTTTTTTCCTGCAGGCAAAGGGAGACAGCTCCAAATCATGGTAAGAACTCTCTACTGAGAAAGACATCTTCAGTACGTACAATGCACATAAATGTTTATTTATCAAAATTTTATCCTTAAAAATGATTCGAGTGCCGAGATTTTTGGAAACTGCAAATAGAAAGTTACTTTTAGAGCTTGAAGATCAATAAAAGAAAAGTTTGCAACCATGAGATACAATTTTTCCCTTATTCTCAAGAAGAGGTTAACTGTCATCTGGTTGTTCGCGATGGTGAAAATTACAGTTAAAAAAAGCGGTAACCTGTTTCAGACAAATCAATTGCCAAACTCTCAGTAGATGCTAAAGGAAGCTTGACAGATGTAGAAAGCTATCCTTGCATTTATTACTGCAGTGGGGGAGGAGAGTGTGCTTGATTAGGAATAGAAATGCCAAATAACATCTCTAACATACATACTCAACGTGAATCAGAGTGGCAGACCATGATGCTTATTTTCCCTGTTTTTCTCTTCCTTCAAACACTTTCTTGCCCAGTTTTAAGGATCCATTCTTCCAGACTGTTGGGCAAAATAGATTCCCTTTGTCATTGCATATTTGGCTATATAGTGTTTTAAAACATTGATCACTGTTGCAACTGAAGTAACTTGTAATAATCTGTGAGGTTCGATTCCATGGAATTCTTGTTGCAGGCATATTACAAAGTCAGAGGATGATGTTTATAACTTTGGATTCATATTGCTTGAATCACTTGTGGGCCCTATAGTGAGTGGCAAAGGAGAAGCATTTTTGCTAAATGAAATGGTATGCTTTCGACCTTGACTGAAATGTTATGGCAGAGGTGTAACTGAAATGCGATTCTGTTTTGCTTCCTTTTCATTTTCGGTTCTTGACATGACTAGCTCATTTTTTTCCTCAATTAACGTTTTATTTCCCAAGCCTTTATCTTCAAGCCTAATTTTCCAGATAAGTGTAGCTTTTCATGAAGGTATGAGATCGAAATGAAATTTTTGACTGTAATGCTGATAACTGATTGGAATAAATTTACTCCCCTTGTGGGCACTGCCAAGAACATATGCATTCAAATAGGTCATATTGTTGAACATGCCATGATTTTTTTTTCCTGTTATGAGAAGGAATCTTTTTTGGTAACTTTCAACATGTCACGAGTTATAGAATGAATTGCTGAAAAGAAACAGAATGTAAAATGTTATTGACGTTCACCTTGATCAGATAGCATTCTTTCATGAATTTCAGGCATCCTTCGGGAGCCAGGATGGTCGACGCCGAATTGTGGATCCAATAGTGTTAACCACATGCTCGCAAGAGTCCTTGTCAATTGTAATATCCATTACCAAGAAATGCACATCTCCTGAATCATCAAGTCGTCCTTCATTTGAGGATGTTCTTTGGAATTTGCAATATGCAGCTCAAGTCCAGGCCACAGCGGACGCTGATCAAAAATCAGATGCTACATCACAGAATTCACAGCCGTAAATTGATCACTTGGTATGACAGAACCACACCCTAGCAGCAACATTGTAGTACACTCCCCCTGCTGCCATCTTGATGAAGCAGCCAATGGAGCTACCTACCTTTATGGGGTCTCTGTAAAAGCACATAAGATTGCATATGTTTTGGCTTCTTGTCCTGATTTTGTATTCTTTGTATGAAACTGTAAATACTATTTTTGACTTGGTTGTTTGATGTTAAAGAATAGTTGATACTCTCTCTTCAGATAAAATTCTTTTCAAATAATGTTTGTCCATTTATTTTTCTTTCTTGGTACCTGTTTGGATTGTCTGGAATGAGTCGGCCTATATACTGATGAGAGACTTGGATATGGACCTTCATCCAGCTTTAAGCCCATCAAGAGCAGTGGGCTACTGTCAGCCATTTTAAAATAGTCTCTCTGTCGCATGGTATACCACTTTGTCTTTAGGCCTGTTATCGGATCTGGGTCTATTAGAATCCGATTTAAAAATTTATTATTAAATCCAATCCAATCTGTTTACGTGATGGATAGAAGAACATTAGTCCATATATGCATTCGCTTGTAACTGGACATCTGTTTTGATTACCCGATTCCACAAAAATTTTAGCAAATAATCTAATTTAAGACATCTAAATGGATATGTATTGAATTCGGATAAACGGATAAAAAATATTAGTCAATATTCGATTAAATAAATTTATATTCGTATCAAATTCAGACTAAAATTTGATCCATTTAGGGCCTCACTTGTCTTGAGCCTGACGGAAGATTCGTGGGCTTTGGTGACGGAGAGTGGAGACGCTGTTTTACGTTGATGGTGGTTGTTGCAAGATGTGACTTCAGAACTTACGAAAAATAAGCTACGGTGGAAACAAGTCAGCTCCTACTCCTACCTCAAAAATAGGGATAGCAATACTGTACGAGTGTCGAAATTTCGTATTAATTGTAAATCTTATTTTGATTTATTTATAGTCATTAATCATGAAAAATAATATAAAAAGATTAGCAAAAAATAAAAAATATAGGTGAGAAAAATAGAAATAAAAGGCAGTCAGAGGCTTCGTACATCATGTAGTCTCATTCACCACCAGCAACGGCCATCTTTGCTTCGATCGTCTTGAGGTGGACATGTCAACTTACTCGGTCTCTCTCTCTCTCTCTCTCTCTGGTGAACAGTAAAGTATTGCTTGCTTTGAGCTCAAAGTACGTTTGTGATAAACATTTTCACATCCTGCTTTCTAACAACTATTGGAAGAAAAAGATGGAAATCGTGTTCGGTGCACCTTGCGTGGTGAATTTATTGATCAAATTAACATGTCATGTAGATAGATGGGTTTAAAGATTACTCAACTTAATACATTCGTAGAGATGAAAATACGGTGACAAATTATTTATCTAAATTTTTGAAAATTTGTATAAATCTCTGTTAATGGAGTGAGGATTTTCATTTATTTTTAATACCTTTCATCCAACATGACGTAACTCTTGTCTAATTAATGAAAATTTTCAATAGTTTCTATTCGGATCAAATCTGGATTTTGTATTATAAGTTATGGGTTTTGGGTATATTTAGGTTTTAACGAGTGACATGAAATTAGGGTTATTAATAAAACTAAGTTACTCGAGCTTGGCTTAAGTTCGACTCAGATTCAACTCGTTTAGGCTTGATTTGTTTTTTAAACGAACTCGAATTTGAACAAGTTTTTAGTCTCGTGCAGAAAACAAGTCTTACAAGTTTGACTTAAACTCGATAGATTCGATTTATTTATGTGCAAATACTCGGGCTCGACTTGCTTTTAGCTTGTTTAGGTCCGGTTCGCTTTTTAAACAAACCGAACTTGAATAATTTTTAAGATTCGATTAAAAAACAAACTTTTCAAACTCATTTCAAATTCGACTCGGACTCGTTCACCTAACAACCGCATGAAATGAAATTGATATATCATTGTGCAAATATTAAATTGGGGATTGTGTTGTTTTCATATAACTTAGAGGGTGCAAGTGAAATTTATTCTATTCACTATGCTAAATAAACCAAACCACTGTCTGTTTTGGGCATTATGTCGGCGAATGCATCCAACACGCACTTTACCCACCGTCTGTTAGGTTCTCCACTCACTTTCCAATGCGTGAGACTCACACTTCCATCGTTTTCACTTAGATTAAGACCAAAAATTTGGATCACTCCGATTCTTTTTTTTTGGGAAAAAAAGAAGAAATTTTCAATCCTTGATCATTTGCTATGCATTATTGATAAATTCTAGTCTTAATAGATAGATCAACCGATAATAAAGACCAATAATAAATTTAAGTGTCCCAAGTTTAAATCTTGACATTTCATTAAGTTATGCTATAAATAATTTGTTCTTAAAAAATACTTTAATTTTATTTTGAATGACTTATTTTTGATTAAATTAAAAAAAAATTAATTAAAGTACGCATAAATTGACCAAAATATTCTTGACTCTGGAAAAAAAAAAACTTAAATTCCTTAAGCACAATAAATATATTATTTAAAAGACATCCATATATATCAAATTTTATTTGACTTATGAAACAAATTGGGGGAGAGGAGGGGGATACTTGGGTTTGGTAGCGTAATTAAGCGAGCAGAGATTACTGTCAGGATGGGCTCCACACAAAATTTTATGCTCCCCTCTTCGTAATTTTATGGGCGGTGTTCTCCACGCTGCGTCGGACGCGAGTACAACCTACTCTATTCTCCCTTCAGTACTAACATTCCCAAGAAAATTAATTAATGCCACTAATCTCTCATTAAATACAAAACGTCATTCATTTCAAAAAGACCCCTCTCAATTGTAGGTTTCACAAAATGCAACACGATCTAATTATTCGGCACGAATCAATACAAAATTATTGAATTTGAATTCAACAATAACGGATTTAGGTGATAAACATGTGCCATCACAAGAGAAAAAAGTAATTTTTGTCTTGATATAGAAGGTCATTTTTTAATTCTATTCTATCACTTTTATGGGCAATCTTGATAAATTAGGCTGATATTCCCTGTTTTTTGAAAAAAAAAATAAAATAAAATCCTCAATATTTTAGTAACAAAGACAGAAAAATTAACATTAGAATAACTATTTATTCTTTATTAATTGAGATACAAAAAATTAAAATTAAAATTAAGTAAGAATAGGAATTAAAAATTTAATAAAAAATTTAATTTTTTTACCAATACCAAGTGCAAAGAGGTGTTTTTGTAACAATACGGAAACCTAATGAGATATATTTTATAATTTTTAAAAGGTCATGGGTCATCATATTGTTTTTACCAAAATTTGGGGTCTCAATGCAATTACCCAAGAATCTTCTGCCAGCTCTCCTATTAATTTCCATTTCGCCTAGTATTTTACTTTATTGAAGAAGACATTCTGGTCTTATTGTTCGCTCACTTGGAGCCTCAGACTCAAATACCTCTCTCTCTCTCTCTCTCTCTCTCTCTCTCATAAATGAACTTTCCGATACAAAACGAAACATTTCGGCCTTCCACTTTTCCGCATTCCGGCGATTATTCGGACATCAGTACTCTCTTCTAAGTAAGTGTTCATATATTTCATGTCAGTGAAGATCTAGCGATTATTCTCCACTGAATTATGTTCCATTTATACTGAAAAAGTAAGAAGGAATTGTGTCCCATTAATGCATAGACAGAAGTGTGTATATACATTCATTCATGTCTTCGATGACCCACCATTGTGTTCTGCAATGATTTGAGCTCCTAACTGCGTGCACTTCGTTCAATTGTCTTTTTTGCTTGCTGGATCTAGTGTTTAAAATGACTAAAATTCATATAATTTTTTGCATTTTTTTTTCTCTTTTTTGGGGCCGACATTATTCAATGTCGACTCTTCTACAAAAACTTTTGGTTTCAATCTTATTTTTTTTGATAATTGCTTTTTGATTTCAATTCAAGAAAAGAGATTTGAACGTTTTTGAGCTGAAATTTTGACCTACCGACATTGTAGTTCTTTCTGGTTTGTATTTCTGAAAATGATCTTTCTTTTAATTTTTTTGGAAGGCCTGACATCTACTCTAAACACTTAGATCACTAATATGTGCAATGAATGCAGGTTTTCTATATTCTAACTTCTTCATGCAGATTTTAGGGGTTCTGTAGCTGGATATGTTATATGTCTAGAGGCATTGGTTTTGCACCGAACATTTAGAGGAATCACAGTGTTTCTGCCACCATGGTTCTGGGACTGAAGAACAAAAACAGGAAAAGCCCCTCAGTTCAAGTTGATTATCTGATCCATGTTCAGGAGATTAAGCCTTGGCCCCCATCTCAGTCTTTAAGAACTCTTCGTTCCGCTTTAATTCAATGGGAACATGGTGAAAAGAACTCAGGGTCTACTAACCACGTTGCCCCTTCACTTGGTACTGGTGCAGGTGTTGGTGATGGAAGAATTGAATTCAATGAATCCTTTAGGCTTCCTGTGACTCTGTTAAGGGAAATGTCCATTAAAGGTGGTGATGGGGACACTTTCCAGAAGAATTGTGTTGAGTTTCATTTGTATGAACCTCGTAGGGATAAGACGGTGAAAGGTCAGTTATTGGGAACTGCCATTGTAAACTTGGCAGACTATGGTGTTATTAAAGAAAGCTTGAGCATAAGTTTCCCCATTAACTGCAAGCGCAGTTATAGTAATACAGCTCAACCAGTTCTCTTCCTTAAAATCCAGCCGGTTGAAAAGAGTCGCACTAGCTTCTCGTCGAGGGACAGCCTGATGAGAGAAACGTTGATGGACGGGAATCGTAGTGAATCTGTTTCTGCATTGATGAATGAAGAATATGCCGATGAAGCCGAGATTGCATCATTGACCGATGATGATGTTTCCTCTCACTCATCCATGGCCTTTTCTTCTTCAGCTATTGAGTCAAATGCAGGGTCACCGTATCAAAAAGAAGAGGTATTTTCTTTCTGGTCAGGAATCATGTAGTGCTAGCAGTATTTCATTTTAATATGGATTGTTTGTGTAATCCTGTCATATCAGTTGATGTGGTATGTATCTGAGTCTGCTTCTTCCCCTAATAATATGTGCTCTCTAGATGGATGCGAAGTTAGCCTGTATACTATATGCATCTGCCTGCTAGTTGCAGAAAAATATGCTTAAGCTTAAACCACTAGAGAGGGTGTAATATAAATATTTATATACTTTAACATGCCCACTCACGCCAGATTTTATGTACAAGCACACGTGAAAGTATTATGATTATTAGGGTGACGGTGATATTTGAATGCAGAACCTGCTGCACTGATACCATATTTAACTACCAACTACTCTAAATATTTATACACTTCAAATGGTAGGCGTGTGGTGTGATGATCAACCTGATGGGTGATCATATTGGCTCTTCTGATTGATGAACTTTTATAGTTGCAAACAATTTGATAACCAATTGGCAATTGCAGAATGGGTCAGAGGCAATGAAAGATAGCCCTGGGGAGGCGATTTACAAGCATGTCGTAGCTTCAAAGCAAGGGCTTGCAAAATTGGATGAGACGCCAGTGAATGTATCATTTGGAAGTCTGAAAGATGGTTCATCTTGCTCATCATCAACAGATTTGTCTTCCGAACTAGCATTCTTCTCCAAGAAAATTAGTGGTTGCCGTATCCAATCCTCATCCTCATCTATAGATTATGAAGGAACTGATAAAGAGTTGAACAGAAACACCAGAAGCAATGACCAGGATGATCTGGCACAGGATATTCAGGAAAACGTTGCTGATGTTGGAAATGGAAGTAAAGGTGCTGCTCAACAGAGCAATAGGGAGAGCAGATCCAATGAATTTTCAACCAAAGTAGCCTCTCCAGATGAAGATACCCAGGTGGATGAGAAGTTGGGCTCTGCAAACTCTGTTGGATCTCAACTCAATGGGGAGGATGATGGGAAAGCTTGGACTCCTAGCATAAAATCTGCAAGTGCTGATTTTATTCAAAATGGTTCTGTAGAGGATAAGAAAAGACAGAGACATCAAGAGAATGGACAAGAAAGGCGAATCCTGGAAGAGGAAAATCATTATATAGAGGATAAAACATTGAGCACATTTCCACAAGATGATTCCGGAAAGCAAGTCTCATTGGCAAGTGCTGCACTTTCTGTCAGTAGGGACAATCTCATACCAAAGCTTGATGTCCTAAATGGCGACAGATTAAAGCTTGTGAAGTCTGTTCGTTCACCAATGGACTCAAGTAGGAGCAATGGATCAGTCAGGAGTAATCCGTTCATGGAAAAAGTGAAGGATGTTAGTGTTCAGGAAGACACTCAGAATATTGCTCGAAACACATGGAGCAATGGCAAAAAAGATTCTAGTTTTCATGCAAAGGAGACAAGAAACATCATTTCTGACAGCAAAATCCAGAAATTAGAACAGAGAGTCAAGATGCTTGAAGGAGAGTTGAGAGAAGCTGCTGCTATCGAGGTTGGCCTTTACTCTGTGATTGCAGAGCACGGAAGTTCTGTAAATAAAGTTCATGCTCCAGCAAGACGCCTGTTTAGGCTATATCTTCATGCCTATAAAGAAAAATTCCAATCAAGGCGAGCAAGTGTAGCTAGAAGTGCTGTTTCAGGATTAGTTTTGGTTGCAAAAGCATGTGGAAATGATGTTCCAAGGTACTTTTTAGATTATAGTAATTTCTATAGATATGGTATCCTTCGCACTCCATACATCATCCTTATTAATAGCATGTCAAGTTAAAATTTATGATTATTTTGAAAACTCTTCATAAATAACCACATAATGATCTTTTGGTTGTTTGATTGGTAAATTAGTGGATTTTGTCGAAATAACTCCGACAACAGTCCTCTGATAGCAATTTAATATGCATCGTCCAACGGTGTTCGACCTATCATGCAGTGGGTCAACTAACCAAATTTCCAGGTGGAGATTGGTGGAGGGTCTATCATGTTATTGCCAGAAGTTTTTCAGCAGAACCTCGAGCTGTATTTGTCATTGAAGAAAATTTAGACCTTTTTCGTATGCTTAATTTTTTTTTACACTCCTAAACACAGATTGACTTTCTGGCTGTCAAATTCCATTGTACTGAGGGCAATTATGAGCCAAGCCTTTGGGGAACGGCAAGCACCACTCTCTGCTGGATCTTTTGTCAAGAGGAATGGAGATTGGAATGAAAACAAAAAGAAAAATTTTCCACTCAAATGGGGGTGCTCTCCCAACAAGGAGACCAGAAGTGCTCTACATGGAAGTTCTGATGACTGGGAGGATCCTCATACATTTACAATTGCATTGGAAAAAATTGAAGCTTGGATCTTCTCACGGATCATTGAGTCTATATGGTGGCAGGTTGTCATATTTTCTTACCCTTCTTTTGACAAGTTTCTCTGTAAATATATAACTAATCCAGGTGCCGTTAGGTTTTGGTGGTAAAGTCTCTTGGATATCACAATAAACTGGGATCCGTAGTAGCTTGAACTTTCTCTTAATTTAATGGGGTGGAATCTGGGGGAATGTAGTGTATGAAGCCAAAACCATTATCTTTATTTCACTGATGTGATTCCTGCCATCTGTTTTCTCCAGACTCTCACACCACATATGCAGTCTGCAGCTGCAAAGGCAATCCATAGAAGCATAAGTTCTGATATGAGCAAAATCTATCGAAGGACGTCTGGTTCAGATGATCAAGAGCAAGGAAACTTCTCATTGGAGCTCTGGAAGAAGGCTTTCGGGGAGGCCTGTGAAAGGATTTGCCCTGTTCGAGCTGGAGGACACGAGTGTGGCTGCTTGCCTGTGCTTGCTAGACTGGTAAATCATATGCTTCATTTTTCTTTAAAATGTCCAGCAGTGACCTGACTGGACGATAGACTCGGATTCAGGCATAATTTATCAACAGAAGTTCCCAATTTAAGATGGTTCTGGTCACACATTGCGTTGTGGTCTTATGTCCCAAACATGTAATGCTACGTGTCAGATAATAAAAATTTTATATATCTTCACTGCAAAATTCTTTAAAACGTTGGAGTTTTAATTTAGGCAAGAAAATAAACAAATAAAAATAATGTATGGGATTTCAGGTTTTTTTACTGTTAGTTTAAAATTTTCAGGTGTCATCCATTTGATTTTTATAAAGCTGCAAGAGTAGATTTTCATTACATGAGTGCTAGATACTTGGATGAGTATCCTGTGTGTAGGCTCAATTGTATGGTGGGTCCTACTATACCTATTCATTGATTGATCTTCTTATTCATTCTGAGCATATAACTTTGCCTCATGAAAGTGTGATGTCTTATTAATGTCCGGCATGTTTGATGTATTGGTGGCAATATGTGGTTAATGTCTTTGTTCAGGAAAATCCACTTCTGACGAATTTAGGTTGGTTTGACTAGATAATGGAGCAATGTGTGATGAGATTGGATATTGCTATGTTCAATGCTATCCTTCGTGAATCTGCTGACGAGATTCCTACAGATCCTGTATCCGACCCCATTAGTGATGCCAAGGTTCTTCCTATTCCAGCAGGGAAAGCGAGCTTTGGGGCTGGCGCACTACTGAAAAATGCGGTGAGAAGCTCAAATTTTACTGTATCGAGCTAGTATTAAAGTCAAACTGCAGTCACTGTAGTTGACATTCATAATTTTCTCGTGCACGCATGCCACTAGACTAGATCTTCTATTCTTTTTGAAATTCCAAAAAGGGCTGGTTATTCTGGAAATATTGATGACAGAATGGATTTCATATAAGATACTAAGATAGCAACACAAAAATGCCTGTTAAATAGCTGGTCATTGTTCTACTTACGTTTGGCTATTCTTTTCTTTTGGTCTGCCAACACATTTTAGCCACCCTCTCAACTTACCTTTATCAAATTTTGACAGCACTGCAGAGTTTGAATTTACTTTGATTAATAAACATGATTCAAATAACTCTTGAATAAAGAGCATATGTTGGGTTATGGATGATAGATTGGGAACTGGTCGCGATGGCTTACTGACTTATTTGGTATCGAGGATGATGACTCTCTTGAAGATGAGGATGGCCCTGATAATACTGATGCTGATGAGACAAAAGAATGTGATACATCCTTCAAGTCTTTTCATCTTCTCAATGCATTGAGTGACCTCATGATGCTTCCAAAGGATATGCTCTTAAGTAGGTCAATCAGAAAAGAGGTTTGACTCTGATACTTACTAGTAAAACCTTTTCATTTTAGACTCCAGCCTACTTGATTAGTCTAGTCTCATGCTTGATCACTGTGCTAAATCACATGTTTTTGTAGGTGTGTCCTACATTTGGTGCACCATTGATAAGGAGGGTTCTTAGCACTTTCGTGCCGGACGAATTTTGCCCAGATCCTATTCCTGAAGTTGTGCTTAAAGCCTTGAATTCGGAGGTCAGCCATTGCGGAGTCTGCATCTTTTTGTCTAGGACACTCTTGGGTGCTCCATTAGACATTTTTTTAAAACTTTTTTCCCTTTGCTACTGAAGCGGATTTAATGCATGAAGATCACATAAACTAATATTCATGATAAACAATTCTCTGGAAAGTAATAAAAATAAATTTTGGTGTGTGGTTTCTTGATTCAGGATCCATTTGAAGCTGAGGAAACTTCAGTTATAAACTTCCCGTGCGCTGCTGCCCCCCTAGCTTATCGGCCACCTTCAGGAGCTTCACTTGCAGGTATCTTGGGAGATATTGGAAGCCAGACTCAACTGACGAGAAGCCGGTCTTCAGTTCTCAAGAAGTCATATACTAGTGATGATGAGCTTGATGAATTGGATTCACCCTTGACTTCTATAACGTTTGACAAGTTCCAGCCATCACCTACTTCAACAAAATCCAGTTGGATATCAAAGGAAAATGGTAGCCGTAATGCTGTCAGGTATCAACTTCTTCGGGAGGTATGGATAAATAGTGAGTGATCATAATGGGTTTGAAGGATTGGTTTATTCCTATGCAAAGAAAAAAGACTGGGGGGGTTCATCTTTTCTTAGAATATTAGCCTGGAACTTGAATAAAAATGGCCGCTGAGATGCAGTTAGATATCAATAATATCCTATTGGAGGGTATGGATGAAAGAGAAATTGTAGTGTAAGATACATGAAGAAAGTAGATCAGTTTTTTCCCTTTTTGCTTTGTTGTTCTTATCAGGTGGCGTGTAGTGTTAGAGGTCGGGTGTAGTTTTGAGGTGTAAATCTGTAATCTCTGTCTTTCTTTCTTTTTCTTTTTTTTTTTTAACTTTTTGATGTCGCTGTACAAATAAAAGTTCCATTTGCAATAATAAACGTTATTGTGGTATTGCGAAAGAGCGCAATTTAAAAGATGCCTGGTCCTGCCAAACCAATCCGAAACAACGGTTCCCAAATCCAAGGGTTCGACGACGTTGAATTTAAAAGATTTCCTGTTATCCTGTGAGCCGAGTCGAGGACCCAATTAATTTATGCCTGAGTTTATCTTATAGCATCAGCACCAATACTAACATAACAGAACAATTTACTGCGTTAAGTTTCCTCCCTTTCTGGCATTATCAACATAAAAATGCACAACAATGCATGCTTCTAGAGATTACTGAGCTCAATTTTTGACATTGAAGCTCTCATTGGCACTACTAATCCAAGAGCTGAGGGCTCTACTAGGAGAGGTTCACATTCCCAGGTAAAGAATTGCAACTCAAGAAAAAGATATTAGCAGATTTAAAGACGGCAGTCTTTGTAGTCCGATGCCCTTGGTGAAAGTGCCACAGAAGTAAAAGCTCAGAAAACTTTCTTCTCATTAGAACCTATTTTTAATCTGACTAGTAGTTTCAGACCTGTAAGTTGAAATCCTACACCAAAATTGACATTATTTTCTCTACCTCCCTTCTTCGATTCAAAAATCAGAGAGCAGTATGAATCAAGACTGAATCAGAGATAAAAGAGAAAAGAAATATATCTGTATGTAATCTCACTTCAAATAATGCCAAAACATGCCTCAATTCTTCTCATCTGCTTCTCATCTTCCCACAGAAACTACATTACTCACTCATTTTGTCAAAGTTTATCACGGCAAACAAAAATTTATCAAAATCAAATGGGAGATGCAAAACTGCAGCTAACTCTATTACACTCATTTTCTTTGTATTTACTATATGATGCCGGAATAAGAATGAAGATAAGGTAAATGGGGGGATCAGTGCAGCCAGATCATGCAGTCAACTTCTGTGAACAACTGACAGCACTCATATGCTGAAGATGCAACGCGGCCAAAAGACCTTGCCAGGTTTCTCCAGGTGCACCAGCCACTGAAAAGTCGAGAAGCTTTTCCTGTTTCCTGTAGTAGTCTTCTAATGGCTTCCTCTGAGGAGAAATTATGATGTTAGTAATTAATGCCAGAATAAACTGAAAACGTACCAACACATGTGCTTGCTACCCTTCAACATACCGACTAAAGCAACAGAAAAATTTACAAAAGAACAAGAATTAAAAAAAAAAAAAACTGACTAGTCAAGCACGAGGGATACCTGCTCCGCATATAAACGGAGTTTCTCTTTCAAGACAGCTTCTATTTCGACACTAGAATCTTTGGTCTTATTGTCGTGTGACGGAATATTTAAATTTGGTCCAGAGCTGCCCATGCTAAGAAAATCTTGAGAAGGAGAATGAACTCCACTTCCCAAATGCTGTTTCACCAAGCAATCTTCTGAGCATTTGAAATTGACAACTAGATCTATGTCAGCAATTTGGTCGAGGACCTCCTGTAGTACACAAGTAATCCAAAGGTTAAAATCATAAGCATAAACCACAACACTGATATCAGAGAATCACCAAGAGGAATTCTTGTTACTCATTAACATCAAGAAATAACAATTGGAATGCTTCTTCTTTCTCAGGATATTTTATTCATTCCACTTTACATATAAAATATGTAGAGATATAGCTAGCATTTCAAGAACACATTATTGTGTATATGACAGTTTGGCATTTGAACTTTTCCAATACAATAGTATATGTAAATTGAAACAATGTTTCTCATAAAAATGTAGAGTTTTCAATTATGATAATATTGTAAGCTTTTACATAAAACCAAACCTGCATACTCAAAAAACGCAAAAAAGTACAAAACAAAAGGAATGAGATTCAACATTATTTCTATGAAAAGGAACTTACAGCTTGGACCCTTGTTCGAGGAATTCCATGCAATATGAACCCAGTTTCGCCCCTGTAGTATCCGTCTTCCAGCCTCTTTGACAACAGGCCAAATATGACATCTTCTGGAACAAGCTTCCCTTGGTTCACAGCATTTGCAATCTAAAAGTTGGGGCAAGAAAAGGAGAACATAAAATTAAAAGGATGCAACGAGGGCATCGATTAAATGGTGTAACCAAGATTATCAATAGGTAGTCTGATGCCCCATAAGAATTTCCCAATATTTTGGGTGTCTTTAATCAAGCGAATTCCACCTTTTCTAAATGCTAACAATACGAGAAGTAATAAAAAAATTCCATGACACTTGATGTTAAGAAAAATTCTACATTTAGAATACATCCTTACATCGCCTTTAAGAACCACAACCAACTACATAGTACATACTATTCTTGGACACATGAGAACTCTACATAGTACATACTATTCCCCCTAAAAATTCTATACATTTATTGGCAACAAAAAAGGGGGCAAAAAAAGGAAAGAGGAGTACATAAATATGTTTCTTACAAATTAATGAAAACAAAAAGGAAAGAGAGAAAAAGAAACAAACCTCTTTGTAGAGAGAAGAGCGAGGGTGGAGTTCTTGACGAACCAGGGCGCCCATGGAAATGTGGGGAACTTCAAGAAGCTTCGACAGCCTCTCGGCGTACTCGTGCCTCTTCACCATTGGATCCCCTATTATCACCCAATGCACTCCCCTCCCCGATACCGATTCCTCAGAGTCTTCCATCGACCTATTGCCATCACGATACAATTCGCTTTCGTCTTCTTCGTAGTCGTAGTCGTAGTCGTACTGGAGCTGAGCCGCAGCGCTTGATCCGTAGGCTCTTCTGACACTGATGAGCCGCCTTAGTGGTGGCAGTGACATTCTCAGGCGGCAAAGCATGGCCAAGGCGGCGGCTGTGGAAAAAGAAACAGAGAAAGGGTTTAATGAGAGAGAACGAAGCGTCAAAGAGAGTTTGAAAGTGGGGTTGCCAAATGAGGTTTATATGGTTTTAGAGACACCATGACCTTTTTTCAAATGACACGGCTTACGTCTTCTTCCTTTGCAGTGGTGGCGTGTTTGTACTCTGTCCTAGGCATTTATGTCTTTGTAATTTAAATGTATATATTTTTTTTAAAATATTTTGTTATATATATTTTTTATCAAATAAATCTAATTAAGTGTACCCAACTTCAAAATAATCCATCTAATAATATGATAATTTGTCCAGTACCAGAAATATCCAACAAATGTATTAGTTTAGAAAATTTGATCAGATTATTGGATATCGATAGCTTGTGTTTTTAATAACTCGAAAAATAAAAAATAAAAAATGGATTTTAAAACCTAGCAAGTGGAGATAAGGAAATTGTGCCTTTTAACTAGACTAATGCTACGTGAACTTAAAAAATAGATTTAAAAATCAGACTTGATAATTACAGTCATTGAATTCACTGTGGGTCTCAGTATTTATTGAGACCCACTACCTATTCAATAGTTGAAATTATCAAGTTTGATTTTTAAGTCTATCTAGCATTACTCTTTTAACTATGTAAAACCTCAAATTAGTGCAAATGACACTTTGTACCTCAAAAGATCTTTACATTTTTAATTTATATTCTGAAAGATTGAAATATTTCAATCAAATAAAAAATTATCAATTTGCCCCATTTTAAGAAAAATGAGTACCAAATTGTTATTGAAAATACTTAAAATTGAGTATTATGTAAACAATTGTATATAAAAATAAGATTATATAACAAATACTATAAAAAAAATTATTAGAAAATGTATCATATATTTACTTTTGGCCTACATTGCTACCTTTTTATTTGATTTGATGATGTAATGTGAGAATTTCAATCATTAGAATTTGATAATTTAGTAGGGTTCAAAGAGACATTCACCTCTCCAATTATATTGAATTGTTGGCTACATTAGTGATGTGCCGATGTTGGATTGTTATTGGGATTCCGACCAATATATTTTGTCAATATTCTTTAATAACAGATTTCCGCCGTGCATGAACGGAAGCATCATTTATAATATAAAATAGGGTAAATTTCAATAAGTTCATCCGACAGTCTTAAATAGACTCATCCAACGGCCACTAACATCCCTCTCAAAATTATTAACATTGCACCATACCTTCAGCTACAGATTACCTGTAATTAATATACAATGGATCTCGTTTAGATTCATAGTACCTTCTTTAAAAGAATTAACACAACTTATTAGTTGTTTGAAAGCAAACATCCAATTTGGCTGCTATTCTGATTTTAGTTTATTTGATTAGAGAATGAGATTGCAAGTTGAAACGATTGCTCCATATATAGTAGAATGTTTAAGAGAGATTCCCTAAACAAATTAAGTACTAAGCACACGGTATGCATTTTGCATACATGCTATTATGTATATTCTATCATGCTGTTGTGAGGTATATGGTTGATTTAGGATCTTCCAGGAAATCAATCCCATGTAATTGACGGTTGGGGCCAAGATATATAAATAAGCACCAGCTATCTTGAAGAATATAAACAAACAAGGAATATACATATTAGAGATAACAGTGAACTGGAAAAAACGGAAATTCGTTAAAATTATTTTATTTGGATCATACATATTAAACGATAGGCATGTACGAAAATACCCGTATAAACTCGTGCGGGATGAATGTGGGATAGACCAAAACTCAGGAATCCTTAGCCCTAATTCAAGAGAATCAAGACGCCAAGAGAGACATAAATATATATTTTTATTATTGTTGCTGTTTTTGCTTAATTATGTAAGGATTATGTTGTTAATTTGTTTCTTTGTTTTTAGTTTTGATTAAATCTTGTGATACAGATATACAATGATATTGCTTATACTTTAATTGTTATGGTTTTTTTTTTAATTTTTTTCTTGAAATCACATAAATTAATTATAATGGACAAGAGCGGGGCGGAGATCAAAATTTACCCACGGGGCAGAGATAGGGATAAAAACTTAGTCACCACTGTCACCCCTAGTCCGTATCTATACTACTTTTTTTTTTTGATCAAATCTATATTACTTTAAAATATCAACATAGTTGAATTTTTTTTTTCACTTTTACCCCCCCAATAATACAACTATTCCATCCTTATCCTTCATAATTAATGTCACACTCCTATTTTGTCCTTAAATGATCTTACAAAGACAATTATGCCTTAAACAAAAAAATTGACTTAAATGTAAAAAACTTTTGAGTTTCTAAACTTTTAAATCTATCATAAAATATTGCTATAAATTCACATTTATCATGTCAAGATTTATGAAAAAAATTTAAATCTCCAAACTCCCCTCAGACAATTGCATAAAGAGAATTAAATATTATTAACATTTTTTCAACCTTTTAATTTTTCCAACCACCTTTAGAGAAGCTAAAAGAAATAGACCTTTTTCTATACCCACTTAATTAACCTAGTTAGTGAAACCTTTCTTGTTTTGTTGCCTATAAATAGAGGAACTGAGTAGAGGAAATCTCATATTTTTGTAATTTTTTTTTTACTCTCTCCACATAAATTTTATTCTTGTTCTATTTGGTAAGGTGAAAATAGTAAGAAACAGAAGAAAGAGGAATATATATACACGGTCTCTTTAAATACAAAAGGCCTATTTTGTTTGAGAGTTCTAATTAGATGCTAATAGTGTGTTATTGTTCTTCTTTATTTTAATTGTTATGTTTATTCATTTTGCATGGTTGAGGTTTTGTAATTAGTTATAAAGGTTGCAGTGAAGGTCATTGCACAAATGGAGTGGACGAGATTTTCTTGCATGCTCTAAAATTTTGGTTGCTACATATTTATTTTCTCGAAAGTTTGGTAGTTACAAAATAAAGGCCGGCAAAAACAATATATTTTGCATCTCTAAATATGTTTTGTTGAGCTTGGGTGGTCTTGGACATGCAGAATAACATAAAAATATTTTTGATATCTAACATCATTATATACAATAAAAACAAAAACATATAATCCAGCACAAAATAAACAACAAAAATAAAAAATACAATTCAAAATAGTTCACATATAACGCACGTGTACACCAATTAATACAAGTAAATATACTGAATAAAACCAAATTCTCTTCCTTTTTCTTTTGTGGTTTTAATAATCCAAATTTCCAATCACCGTCCATGGAACCACCCCCCTTCTTTTTTTCTCTGTCCTTCTCTGAGTTCTCTCTCTCCCCTAAGTTTTGACATTTTGTAGTACTGCTTATCAAGCTCTTAATTTGTATTTTCAACCAGAAGGCGTACAATCCGCAATGTGAATGGACACTATCCGATTTTATTCCATGGGAATAGCTTTTAAAAACCATGTTGACTTTTGGGTTGAAAACAATGAAACTCGGGCATCATTAAAGCTTTCCACTATTGATATTGTGGCGTGGGTTGGCCCATGGATGTGTCCACATAAATATATATATATTGGACAATGGACATGGGTCACCTAATTTGAATAGGTAAACAAACCCTGCTTTGATTATCACGAGGAATTTGTTGGTCTTGCCTCTCTCTATCCACCAGAACCGCATAATTTTTTCCTCTCCGAAAATTCTCTCCTGCTTCCCTCTAAGAGGCACCGTTATAGACCCGAGGATTTGGTGCAAGGGCTCTTCGCTACGATTAAAGCAACTAGTAAAATAAATCAATAAATTTGAAAGTTTCAAGTTCAATTCGAATAGATATTCCATAATAATCCCAAACGTGTACCAACAATAGACTTAATGGATAATTTAAATAGTAATAGAAATAAGTTGTGAATTCAGACATTCTGAACTTAAATTTTGACATTTTTAGATGTCTTAAATTCGAATCTTGGCAATCTTTTGATGTCAGGTCAAATTTATCTTTCACGAATATTCTAATCCTAATGTGAATAACCTTCTTTTAATCAGACCAAAAAAAATATTAGTCAATGTGCGCATAAGTTTACGTGGACAACCCCACTGTTGAAAAAAAATTTGAACAGTTACCACAGAACCGTGGTTGACCCCAAAAGTTGATTTCTCTTTCAGTGGTCGTGGCCGTTTGGACGGTTTAAAACTTTCTGGCTCGTCCCTCTTCCTCTAGCTAGAGTCTGGACCCTGTTGGAAGTTTTTCAACTTTGTATTTGTCCTCCTTCTTCCTAATCCTGACTTGGGCATATCAGACACTTCCTTGTTGGTTCTTAATTTTCTGGAAAGCTCAAAAAGTATGCCAATTGTGAAAAGAGAGGTCATCCTCTTTAACCACGAAAACTCTACGTTCCTTCATTTCTTTGAACCCCATTTGAACAAGTTGTTTGGTCAACCCACGTCACGCGGCATCATAACCCTATTTATATATAGCAGAAAGTTGAGAAGCCAAACAAGGTACAGGCATTAGAAAAACCTTCTGTTTCAGCTCATGCTCATGCAGGCTTCATACATTTCTGCCTCTCATTTTTCTTATCTACTTATTTTGATCATAGAAGCTGTCATATCAGCTCTTTAACACACACACACACACACTATCTATTTTCTCCTTCAGGTTTCACAATCCTTTTGTACGTAACTCTACTTGACTAGGCTTAGGTTGAATGATAAATGGACAAACACCAGCAATATGAAACTGTGTTTAATCACTTTGATGACAACGGAGATGGGAAGATATCACCTTCAGAGTTGCAACAGTGTGTCGGGTCGATAGGCAGAGAGCTTTCGATAGAGGATGCAAAGGCAGCAGTGCTGTTAATGGACTCGGATGGAGATGGGTACTTGTGTTTGGATGATTTTGTGAGATTTTTGGAAGGAGCAGGAGAGGAAGAGAAGGCGAAAGATATGAGAGAGGCTTTTAAGATGTATGAGATGGAGGATTGTGGTTTTATCACACCAAAAAGCCTGAGGAGGACTCTTAGTAGGTTAGGGGAGTCCAAAACCATTGATGAATGCAAAGTGATGATAGCTTATTTTGATCTCAATGGTGATGGAGTCCTCAATTTTGACGAGTTCAAAGTGATGATGGCATGTTGAGTTTTTTTTTTTGGTGCCTTTTTTGTACTTTTAATTATCACCCATTGATTGTAGTCTTGACCAGGGATGTATATAGATATTTATTGGAATATTTAGTTTCTATTTTTTCCTTAAGATTGATCATTTGTCAAATAAATAAAATGGGGAACTATAACTCCTAAAAACTATCTTTATCCTTTTAGCAACATGTTTTAAGTTAGTTCAAGTCACGGTGGCTGACTACTGAACTCGAGAGAATAGTAGACACAAACCTCGACGGTCTCCAAAAAAAAAAAAAAAACTACATTACATGTAAACCTTGAAAAAATAGATATATAGACAGTCTAGCTATTCATCACAAAGGTGATTGCTTCCATCACCCGCGTTGGGTTTTGAGTGGAGGTCTCCAAAGTTTTTCAAGAAACACAGTTCTCAACCCCTCTGGATCGGAGACCCATGTCAACCCTACTCTTTCTTTTTCTTGGTGATTGTACTAATGTGGAAGAATTTGGTATTTCTTTTTCCATGAAAAATCCACTTAGCTCTGGACTTTTAGGAACCTAGCTAGTAGTTCCTCCTGTTTTAGGAAAGACCCATATGAAGCTATGACCACAGCATTCAAGCTAGGAAAGGGGCTGAGCTCTAGACTTGTCCTTTCTTATGTAGAGGACATCCAAGCTCTATGTGAGAGAGAAGACCGGTGCAGTGGAGCAGTGGCTCATCCTGGTCCAGGGCATGAGCACTTTCTTGTTGCACAATTGGCAATAAGTATGATATCTTCATCTAATAAATCTCCCCGCCCCGAAGTGAATAGCCGTAAGCGTTTTCAATCTGGAACACTAGATGGCCCATAAACAATGTGCCTGTTGGACAAATGGCTAAATAAAGTTTGTCATATGTTCAGCAATCAGCAGGACTTGACTCCTGTTTGATAACCGGCATATTTGATCTTAGACAAGATCAGGACGAATATCGAATATGGTATGCAGTTTAGCACCATCCTGAAGTTAGGAGATCATGATCATAGATTACGACTTAACTTGGTGGGATTACGACTCAACTTGGAACAAGTTATAATACCAAAAGATGAAGTTACCATTTAAAAAAGGTCGGATCGGTCCTAGATGTTAACGTGTGATATAACAACTTATTGGAAAAATAAGCTGTACCGTTCCTTCACTCAAAGAAGCACTGCAATGAGGAAGGGTGGAGATTAGCTGCTTCGACAAAACAATAAGCATCTCGGGTCCTCGTACGACGATTAAATGGTCAAGCGATGTTCGACGAGGAAAACGCCTTTTTACGATCAACACTCCTCTACTAGTCAGTAGTTTTTCTGCTAATAATTTTAGCCAAAAAGAAGGGGGCATTGAAAATATTTGATTGAAGCCCAATGGCCTTGTTACCTCTTCTACTCGTGCACAATACAGCAATCCAAACTTAGTACCAAGAGATGTAAGTTTTGAGGAGGTGGAAAAAAAACTTAAAAGGCCTGATATTTCTAATTCAATCTGGTTTTTAGTTACATCTATACAGAATCCGATGCATTTCTAATATCAGAAGGAAAAAGCATACACCTTTAGAGGCTCCTTGAATAGCGAGAGTAAGAGAAATATTGATTCATCTGTGACATCCTTAGATTGGTGTTGAAATATCTTTTGCAGCTGCCTTGACAAGAAGTTTGCAGGAGCCTTCACGAGTTGAGAATTGCTCTGCTGCTGGTAATTCTTCCACCAATATGAGTAACTTCTCAACGATTTCTCCAGCATTTGGTCTCAACGATGGGTCATCCTCTGTGCAAGCTCTTGCAAGATTGGCCAATGTAACAGCTGCATCAAATGAATAATCTTCACCCACCGCATTGTCCATCCATCCCCTCAGCTCATCTGCATTATCGGACTGCAATATGCTCTTGATTTTCTCGGATAGCCAAACACTTCTTTCTCCCTTCTCATTGGGCGCGGTTATGGGCGTCTGCCCGGATAAAACCTCTAGCAAAACCACCCCATAAGCAAAAATATCCATGCTCGGGGTAATTACACCATGCTGAAGATATTCAGGTGCCAAGTACCCTTTACTCCAAGAGGGAGGATGACTTGAATCAGATTTCTGGTCCTCAGAATCACCTTCAACGCATCTAGCCATCCCAAAATTCCCCATCTTGGCATTGAATTCTTCATCTAAGAAGATGTTCTGACTCTTGATGTTCCTATGCACGTAGCTAGGATTCATAATGTGGTGCATGTATTGTAAGGCTGTAGCCACATCAAGACAGATCCTTAGCCTCTGGCTCCATGTCAAGAAACAATAGCACGAGGCAATGAACTGGCTTTTCATTGCCAATCCACCATGAAGCCAGTCCTTCAAGGACCCGTTCCTGGCATATTCGAAAACCAAAAATGAGTCAGGGCCCTCAATCACACAGGTTCCCAAGAGCCACATTATGTTAGGGTGATGTTGAATTGCATCTTGGAATAGCTCGAACTCAATCTTTGAGATGGTCTCAGTCGGTGTGCGCTTTATCTCCACTTCCTTCCCATTGAGGCGACCATGAAATACAGAATCCTCAATGAGATTACTTGAATTGAAGTCCTCGGTTGCCTTTGTCAGTTCCTCTATAGTGTATGTCTCCACCACCATCTTACCTTGTGCTTTATTGATAATCTGACCATCAAGAGGATCTTCGGATTCCTCTGCAGAAGAAACCTTCTTCTCGTTAGTGGTTCTCACACTTAAACCAAGCTGTTGTAGCTCCACATCCACCAGCTTGCATGAATTCTGCTTATTCTTTCTCCATTGGATCACCAAGAAGGCTGCTGCAATAGCAACGCTCACCCCAAACGCAATCCCACCAAGAGCAATGTAAAGTCCAGTATCCCACATTGTCGACTTTTTCTTGTGTAGATTCACTTGTATGTTAGTTGCTGGATATCCAAATCGGGCCAACGGGTTTTCAATAATGAGCCAAGGATAGGCTTACTGTTGGATGGAATGGGAAGAGTTGATGCCAATACCAGGCTTTCTGGCTAGAAATTTTGTTTTTGGGGAAGTACTGAAATTTAAGGCCAGGTTAAAAACTGTCGCCTTGGCTTAGAGGATAAGACAGCAAAAGCTTGGCTTGTCAACTGAGTTCAAATGAAAATGGACAAGCATATCTCAATGGGATCGATAATTGAAGTTTATCCCCAAAACCCCATGGTGATAGCCTTGCAAGCTTTCAAGCCCTCCAGTGACTCAGTAATACTAGAAAAACTCGCGCGGATTGAATAGAGATAAGAGAGTATGTACTAGAGCATATGTTTCTGACTGATCCTGTGATATATTACCATTACAACGGCAGCCATAAGGATCCAGAGAGCTGTAGAGTAGCAGCTTAGCAAGTTGTGTCAAGAACAGAGGTAATAGCCCAGAAGAAACTTAGTTGGAGCTCACTGATCATAGTTGGTATATGCAGGACCACTCACTTCCACATGGGCACCTAGAAAACAGATGAGATTTCTCACTTTGAGAGGATGAATACTTAATATATTAATGGGATCTAATGGACAGGATTCTTGGGGTTATAATTATAAGATATTTTTTAATCAGACTCCAGTAAATTGGGCAACCGCCCTACTTGGAACTTGATTCCTTTAGCTGAAGGGAGATAATCATCAACCGTCTAAATATGCAATTGCTGGTGATCACAATCAAGAATCAAAATTTTGTTTTGATTGAATATGTTTGATCAGTTCTAAAACTGAGACGTTTCGAAAAGAAAAATAAACTGAGGAAAAAACACTAACTTTTAATTCCAAAACATTAGAAGAATCATTACGAAACAATTTGAAATTCATTTTTCAATTTTTGATTCATTTTTACTCAAACCGAAAAAAAAAAAAAAAATTGATCGTTAATCGCAAGTACTTTGAAGGACTCTTTGGCTTTTACATCCGCCAACGTGAATAGTCGTCTACATATACATGCATGTGCTCGAAAAAGACACTTTAATTTGTTCCCAGAACCAAGACATATGCTTCGCACATCGAACTATGTTGTTCGTTCGCAAATCTCAAAAATAAAAAGGATACTGTGTTCACACTCATGACGGGAGCATAAGTGTGTTGGAAGCATTCAATAATGGTATGAGGCATAAGTTTAGATACAGAACAGAATGATTATTATTTTGGAATATAAAGGGGCCAGGAAAAAAAAAAGGCAGAATAATTTAAAAAGAGGAAACCTCCATGCATGGTAAAGCTGAGGCATCAAAAGAAAGCTGAAAGATAGTTGGGTCAAAATGGCCATGAATGCCCTTGGTTGACAAGCACCCAAAAAGACCAATCGACTGCTTTATTCTCTCTCTTCACACGTCACTCCCCAATGGAGTTCTCTATTGCAATCAATAGAATAACAGACCCAAACAGAGAGGCTGCAATTCTTATCCCCATTTCCATCTCTCCAACATATCCCATCGGAAAAGTAACATAACTAATAACTTTGGGCCAAGCACGTACAAGTTTTATGATTATCAAGGTGACGACAGAATTTGAATGGAGGAGCAGCATGCCGTTTTTATACTATGTTAGACTAGCATTTAACTTTTTTATTTTCAGCACAAACCCCAGTGAATTAGTTGAGTTTAGGAAGAAGGCTTATTGGGATAATTGAATGGTGTCCTTGGTCGGTCCGTCCGTTGACTGAAGAACCCTAAAGTATGTGGAGAGTTGTGGTTAAATCTGTCTAACTTTCACCGTGGAATAAATACAAGCACTTTTTTTGTTGAAAAAGCCTGGAGTGGAGTGCCTCGAAGAAACCAAAGTACTAAACTAGTGGACAAATAAATATCCGACAGCGTAGGGTGTCAAATGCACGTGATTCCGCCACACTGCTTACACTTTCACTTCACTTGGAATGAATAAGATAGGGCCTAAGGGGGAATCCACAGCATCAGTAATATTCTTAAAAGATTTTAACCTGACTTTTTGTCGTCGACATTCTGTCTTTTAGAACCAACAAATTGCCGTTAAGGTGCCAAGCAACATATTAGCTGCCACTGCCACTGCCACTGCCACTGCCAGCCATAGATTACTTCAAAATGTGTTCAGGAGATGTTGTACACACTTGCATATTTCCTATTTTGCGCTTTAGAATATGTGTTGGCCTGTTTGGACGTCCAACAGCCATGCGTCACAGATTACGCATACAAACAAGTAAAAAATAATAATAATCATGGGGGATAATTGCAATGACAACCCCTACGATATGAGCAATTTCAAGGGTGTCCTCATTGTTTCAAAAATTATCCCAATACCCCATACATACAATATATATATATATATACAAGTAATTGTTAAATAAAACAACAACTGCAAATATTTAATTGACTTCCAAGTTCCAACATTGAAAAGTAAAGACATGGAAATCCATCAAGGAACAGAGAGGGCATCATTCAAAACTTGTAAGGAAGAGCCACTCAGTTGCAGCCACAGCTATCTAAGGGTTTTTAAACTGATCGCTACAAGGCCTCAAACTGCAACGTAAGGAGAGAAAAGAGGAGGGGGGGGGGGGATATGAAATAAAATCATGCAAATCCAGTGTTTGGAACCACCATATGAGCTTACTAATTTACAATAAAATCATCCATAGTGTCACAAATCTTACAGAATTATGGCAGTGTAATCAAAATGCAACCCAAGCAGATGTGCAAGCCAGGGTTCTATGACTACACCAAATGATGCAGGAAAATAACTTGCAGAGAAAATAACTTGGTTGGAGCTGTAAGTCTGAAAACAAAGCATAAAAATGATGCACCTACAGAGAAGTTGGTTCAAAAACAATCACATTACTCCAAGTACCCCTCAAAGTCATCTCATGCAACAATTTAACGTGCACTCCATTATTGGTACAGATATGAGATGATAGAACAATAATCTGGCAAATCGTATTGGCTTATTATATATCACATTTTAATAACCTTAAACTGGTTAATAATATACACGCCAATTGTGTAGATAGTGTTCATTGAGCAAGTTTCTTGCCTGTATCATATCAACTGATGTTCTGTGCTTTCTCCACGCTATGTCTCATAAGGGATATCACTTGGGCTGGCTCTGAAGCTCCGAACACTGAACTTCCTGCCACAATGCAATTTGCTCCTGCTGAAGCTGCCACATCAATGGTTGAAGGCCCTAAACCACCGTCGACCTGCAAAACAAAGTAAACCCCGTTTCAGATAGTGCTCAATTCACACAATGAAGAAATATCAAAAGTTGGGTTGGTGGGTGATGTGCTTTTACTTTTTTATTTCTTTTAATTTCTCTCTTTTTTTTTTTGAGATTCCTGAGCCGTAAAACAATATCTCAATTTTAACACTGAATCAGCAAAATAGAGAAGGAACTCCAGTCCTCATACACTTCAAAGCAAGAAATAGAAACATTTCACTCAACATTAGCTTGGGATATGAATGTCAAGCATACTTCACTACTGAGCTTCACTTGGACATGCAAAAAGATGAAGACAACATAGGGAAAAGGGAACACAAATATGCAATGTTCCTCTCACTTTTAAAAATCAAATTCAATTGACATCAAACTTTAGCTAACTGTTTCCTAATAAACAATTTCACAACCAAACAAGCTAGCTTAATAAACTTTATCAACTAGTAAACGAAGAGTTTAGTATTTTCAAAATATCTTTCAAAAGTCTCCAGATTCCAGAATGCTTCCAAGATGACAGCCAATATTTTTCAGGATGAAAACCCTGAAACAAGAAATCCTCCTTGGGATGAAGTTCCAGGTAACTTTGGTAGAGACTAAGGAAAAAAGAACCAAAGAGTATGGGCACAAAATTCAAAGTCATAGTATTATCAATAGAAAAGAACTCACCTCTATATCAAGTGACGGGTACTTCTTTCTCAGCACACTTACCTGAAATTAAAACTTAAAAGGTTATGAAACTAACAAGGATGGTAATACAAGTCTAAACAAAGATGAAACACAATTTATGCACTTTATCCATCGTTTCTGGCATGAACTTTTGTCCACCAAATCCAGGTTCCACGGTCATAACAAGAACCATTTCCACAGAATTTTCACCTTCAAGCTGTAGAACAAGAAAAGACAAATATGGTTACTTATATGATTTCTCCTTTTGTGCAAAAATAGTTGAAAGGCAGCTAGAATGGAAGATCTAAGAACTTGAAAATCAAGAAATAGAGCTGACACATACCAGTGGATACACTTCTTCAATGGGTGTGCCAGGCTTTAATGCCACACCAGGCCTCATGCCCTTTGACTTGATTCGCTCCACAAGTTCTTGCCAATTATCTACAAAAGGTAACATGCACTCTTCCATCATTAAAAAAAACTAAAGGACACCAAAATAAGATCCGCACATTGGCACGAGCTCACAAGCCCCACACACCCACACAGGAAAAAAAAACCTTGAAAAAACATCATAATGCACCTTTGGATGCTTCAACGTGAAATGTAAAACCCGAAGCACCAGCTTTTCCAAACGGTTCAACATAATCGAGAGGATTTGTTACCATAAGGTGACAATCCAAATATGCCCTACAAGAGAAGAAAAATGATACTTTTCCATACTTAACCAAACCCAACAGCAACATAGTTAAGGTCATGAATTCGAGAGGAAGGGGCATAAGAAGGGATTACCTAGTATGCTTCCTTAGACTCTCAATGACTGGAACTCCAATCGTAAGATTTGGGACGAAATGCCTGCAAAAAAAGAAAAAGGAGTAGAGATAGTTGTCTGGTTATTATTATGTGGATAACTAAACACAACATATCAATAGTGAGTAAAAGCATTTTTCATGTTTCAATCAGTGTGTGTACGATAATCATTGACAACAATGGTGATACTTTGATCAGTGTTGAGCGTCCAACCTACCCATCCTGCAATAAACCAACAGAAAAAATTATAACATTTGAAATATAAAAAAAAAAAAAATCAGACTCCACTGAAGTTCTTCCAGCAGTGAAGAACAGATGCAACATTGTGTCGAGCTAACTAACAAGCGAGTGTATAAACAATAAGAACAAAAGACCTCGATAAATCCATCTAAAGTGAAAACATCAGGAAATAAAGTGGCTAACAAGGAAACCTTCTGCTACATTCAGCAAGAAGATGAGGACATCCACCCACAGCTTACCCAACACTAGTAGCTAATTAGCATATTGACCAACAAGAATTATAACTATGGTATTTAATGCTATGGACATATGCTAGATGTTTTTCTTTTTTCAAAAAAAAAAAGCTTAGCTTATATCATATCACTGACTTCTCCCAAAGTTTTAACCACCTAATATGAAATTATATTTAAGAAAAACTGCCTAAACATCAATTCAACCTAACCAAAATATCCAGAGAATTCGATAATAGACGGTGCCAAATGGATAACATAAATCCGAAAAATTGGCAGACATTTTTGCACTTTTTTTGGCAAAGCCTTTTATGGTCAATTCAGCAATGAAATTGACTCTGCATCAAATCCAGCAGGTAGAAGTCATGTCTATATGACATTTGAGCAATAGCATTCTCTACTGTCGCTAACCACTTTTACAATTTCACTCCAACCACACTCTCTATTTTAGCTAATTACTTCACCCAACTTTCACTAACTTCCAATAATTTAGAGAGATAAAAAGGTAAAGAGAGAATTTAGAGAGGCTCAATGGCTCTCCACATTTGGAGAGCCATTTGGGTGAAATGGGAAATAGAGAATGAGATAGAGTGTGGGTTGGAGAGTGTTTTTAGTGTTTGGCTAGCTAAAATAACTAAAAAAGAGGAAATAGAGAGTGGGTCGGAGATGCTATTATAGTTCCCGATGATTAGCTCAATTGAAGGCAGAAGCTAAAAGATGTGTTGGCTGTCGAAAATGGCATAAACGATCAGAGAATTAGAACAAACAAAAAGAAAAGCTAATGAGAAAAAAAAAACTAGTTGGGAGCAATTTCCAGCTTGGTCAAAGTTTTGCCCGTGAATTTTCAAAGCAAAAGTGTATCTTGCAACCAAATCTATTTCCCCCTTAAGAGAATTTATAGTATAATCGAAACCGCTAAAGCTAATACTATCAAACTATGCATCTCCGATCAAAAAAAATCGAACAATCTATACTACACATGAATCAATAAATATTAACTACGCTGGAGAAAAAAGCATAAACAGTATATCTAGATTTGTATGGGTGCATTTACAATTGAGAAGGAAGGAAAAGGAAAGAAAAGGTACCATGATATCCATGTGGAGCCAATCGGCGCCGCACTGGAGCATGCGTTCCGCCTCTGAGGCTAAATTGGCGAAATCAGAGGATAGCATCGACGGTGCGATTTTCGGCTTCACCATCCTTTTGATTGCTTTTTCAGACTTTAAGCTTTTGGTCCAAGAAGTGACTTAGATCGCCGGTTCAGTACTATGGACTTTGGATTTTCTGGCTGAACGAGATCCGGAGAAGAAGAAGAAGAAGATAGTTTCACAGATCCTGCCCCGACGACGTCGTTTTGGACGATTTTGTTGACATCTACGACAATCTTACGTTTTACGTACGTCCTTACCTAACTCGTGAAAATTTTGACAACGGAGATATACAAACAGTCCGTTGAACCTTAAGTTGGGCCAGCCTATTGAACTATTCAGTCCTGGCCACCTAAGGATAAAGGCCTATTAAGACAAGCCCATTGGACAGACTGTGAGTCTGCAAGTGCGAAATGAATAAAATTAAAAAAATTATTTGATTAAATATTAAGAATTATCTTGAGAAAGAGAGACCCATTAATTGGTAAATTCAATCAAAATTGGAAATTTCTTCAATTACTTAAGAATTGGAGAGGAGCCTAACCTAACCAAATAACAAAATGATCATATTATAATATTTTTAATTTATTAAGGATGTAATATAAAAAATTTAATCTTTAAGGGTACAAAATAAAAAACTTAAAATCTTTCATGGTATAAAATATAATTCATCCTCAAAAAAGGTAATGTACACCAACTATAATGGCAAGAAAAAATATAAAATGAAAAAGAAATATACCAAACCCTACCACGAAGAACCGGTTAAGTTCAAGTGGTATGTGACACCTAACCACAAGCTAAATAAGAAATATCCAGATATACTCATATATAGATGGCAGTCTGTGTCTGTCATTATCATAGAATAGTAATTCTCAGTCACCAATATTGATTCAATTGATATTTAAATCCACTCAATTCTTATGGGGAACAAAGGTGTGAAGACAGGGGACCACATATTGACAAAATAAGATGTCGAAGACGGTAGTAGGAGCCAAATCTCTAATCTAATTAGCAATGATGGCAACTAGCATCACATCTTTCATCCCTGATTAGAAAGTTGTTTTCTTGATGATTTCGTGTTATCGTGATCGTACCCTACTCCTACTGGATTAGAAAAGTTAGTTAAGCAGTGGTTAATCCGGACTTTTTTTTTTTTTTTCCGGCCAACTCAACGCCGCCTCGCATCCACATATCCTCCAATTTGTCATTTGTATAGAAAACGAAATGGGTGGGCCATCCTTCCTTCCTTCCTTCACCCTAATTCTAACTTTGTTATAACTTTACCATGCAATTTTGTTGGTCGGCCATTCTAATTGTATTATTATTATTATTATTTGTTTAACAATCAGTGGTGTTCAGACCATCTTACGTATATTTTAATTAATCATTTCTTTCGATCTGGTCAAAAATAAATCATTCACAACGAAATTAAAATATTCAAAAAAAAATAAATTTCTCGTGACTTTAACCTTAAAAAATTATTAAGATTTAAAGTCATGATTTATGTGTCTACGATTCATTTCCACTACCATTTAAACTACACTTGAAATCGACCATTGATATTACTGATGCCCTAAAGGGACAACTGGAGCTCAAATACCCTTTTTTTCCCCTTTCAGCTTCGCCTTAGGGCTGCTCAGAGGGTGTGATCACTACAAAAGTGTTCAAACTTCATATGCTCTGGCATGAGGACCGGAGATTAGGAGTAGATATTTAATGTAACGGTGATATTACGTTGTTATTGTCACGTGATATCACCATCTAATTAAAAGATTAGAAATAAGTAAAATGAACTCCGCTATTTTTATTATTTTCAGTAATCACCACACCCAATCAACAACATATAAGATTAGTGAAATTTACCTTATTTATTTGTTGTCTTCTAATTGGATGGTGACATCATATGACAATAATAACATAGTGTTACTATTGCAATCAATATTTTCTCAAAGATTAGGGCTTGTAATATACCTTATTGTATTGGGTTTTACGTTATGTCATGTTAAATTATTGTAATCATACATGATCTATTTATTAAAAGAGTATATTTGAACTCTTTAAGACTAAATTAACACGTCATAATTTTCTGTTGGTTCTTATCAATTATATTGATTATGTTGAAAGTTGTCAGTCTTGCTATACATGGTCCCCCCAAACAGAACAATATATATATATATATATTTTCATATATATATATATATTTACGCTGATTATTCGATTTTTAAGTTTTCGATCACTATAATTTGAGTTGAGTTCGAACATATTCCTAAAAAATTATGAGTTACTAGTTTTTAGGGAATGCGAGAAGAGATTGAACTTGAGAGCTTTTGAGTTACAATACATTGTCTAACCAAATCAAATTCTCTTTTGACATGTTTCTCAAGAAATTTGATTGTGGCAAACTCTTTCCCCAACTAACGAAAAGATAATTGTTACATACGAAATTGAGTACAATTTTACTAAAAAAAAAAACACACGATTTCTTATGGGCACAGACATTCCAAGTAATACAGCCTTATAATTCTTCAATTATTGAACCACCCAAGGGTTTTTAATATAATTTATTTATTAGTTGATGGATAGGTTTCCATATTTAAAAATAAAAAAAATTGGGCTTCCAATAAATTTACTATATGTTCTCATACTTAACACAAAAAAGTACTCCTCGACGGCCAAATCCAAAGTCACCAATTTATAATTGGAATTAGGAATAATATCTTATCACCAAAGCAAAGGGGCAAAATCTTCCGGGACATGATTATAAACTCAAGCAAAAAGCTATTAGATTCAAAGCTAATATACATATATGTGTTGATTCTCTTGACCTGTGGTTAGTGGGAACTTGTCTTTTTCTTGCGATAGCCTCCACACACTTTTTCACATGCTCAATAGGAAAATATTTTTTTTGGAAATTACAGATATATTTTTTCAGGGGTAGGTAGGTACCGGATCATATCGCAATAGTAAAATTCGTGGCCTAAAAGGTAAGGTTATTTACCTACCCAATTTTCCTTCCCAAGTAAAATAGCTTTACAAACAAAAAATAAAAACCTTGATAAACAAATTAGTATTTCGAATTTTGGGTTTGGATACATTTAGAGTACAATTTGAGAAATTTAATCTTTAATAGTGTGAAATAAAAAATTTAAAAAAATTTAGGGTAGAAAGTATAATTCGCCCGAAGTTTTACTTTTAAGACAGCTTTGTGTTGCCCTCCTGTTTCACAGTCAATAAAAATCTGCTATTTCAGTGCAAAAACAAACCTTAGTATAATGGACTCCTTGCACCAGGCCCCACTTTCCCTGGTGATACAATAACTTCGCTTTCAAGGCCCTCTCTCTCTCTCTCTCTCTCTCTCAAACACGGGTAGAGATTTTGCTTTGCTATGTTTTGAGTGAGAAATAAGAATTTTCCACTCCTTCAAGCGTAACGTCAAGACACGGACCCTCATTCATGGTTTCTTCTCCCACTTCTACTTTACTCTCCCCCTAGATAGGAAGTTTTGTGGAGGACAAAGAGATTTTTGGCCTTTTAACGGTAAGGGGTGAGTTTTGAGATAATGGGTTCTTGTGTTTCAGTTCACAAAGACCAAAAATCGGCCATGAATCTCCGTTTGTCATTTGGGTCTAAGCCTGACCAGCTCGTGATTCCATCGCCAGTCAAAGACAAACCCACGGTCAACGGTGATCGCCCGATCGCTGAGGTTGGTTTTAAATCTCAGGGATCACCGCCGCACCAAGTCAAAACTTTTCGCGACCTTGGTATGTTCCTCCTTTCAATCTACATATGAATAATTTGTACTGAATTTCATATTTTGGATTGTTGGATTGTTTATTTGTGTTTTTTGGCGCTAAATTTCTGGTGGGTTACATAGAACTTATCTTTTCATTTGCATTTAATAATTTTACTTTATGCCCTTGTTTGTGCATGATTGAATGGGTATTAATTTTAGTAAGTCAATATTGTTTGTTGATATGCTTCTGAAATTTTATCCAGTTGAGTCATTTGGTTTATATGGATTGGGATTTTTCTTCTTAATTTTTGTTGATATCTTGTTTATTATGTTTGGTTGCTGTTACTAAAGCACGCCATGTAGTTATGTTACTAAAGCACGCCATGTATCATGGCGAACAACTTTGGGAATAGTTCGGACAACATAAAGGGGGCTTGTTTTTCTATTTCTCCTTTCTTTTAAGAAGAGGAAAAATAACAGAGAGTTTGGTATTTAGGTTCTCATCTGATGATCCATCGAGGGTCTGTCTTCCTTCATGATAGTATAAATTCTGTGTCTGGGATGGACATGGTTGAGATGTTCCCATTAGCATACATTAAACAAATGAAACAGATATACAGCTTTGTTGGCATATTATGCTCAAACTGAAGAAAATCCACATCTAGGTTGATAATTGGATATAAATATGAAAAACTTGTCAGTAGTGAGCTCAAAAACCCAGAATACCATACTCCTCCACTCCCCAGATCGCTGGGGGAAGGGTGAGGTTGATGTTTGTTTCGATGACCTCTGTGGCCACTGCTGAGTTTTTCCTTTTTATCAAATGAATTTCTACCTGCAAAAAGAAGAATAAGTTTTCTTTTTTCATCTTGTTAACTTGGAACGAGGGATGTGAGAAGCTGACTTATGTATTCACCAAATGGATATTACAAAATCTGTTGAAAAAACCTTTAGTAGTGAATTAGTGCTCAGATGAAGGTTTTGCTTAAATTTGGCATGACGTCAACATTTTAGAATATCTATCATTGTTGTATAAGAGCCTCTTCTTTTTACCCTTCCATTATGATAGAAAATTTTCAGTTGACAAAAACATTTCTCCCTTGGAACTGCCTGCCTTTGTTGACATGAACAACTATATGCAAGTCAAGTTCAAACCTTCAGAAATCATGTCCCTTTATGGGGCCAGTGATTCTCTGCTCTTTGATGGCTTACTAAGCAATGGAAACAACTCTTGAGAATCTTATTTTTTTGGCACAGCTGGAAGATGCCAGGGCCACATTGGTGAAGGCAATAATCACAACCATTTTTTAGTGAGCTGTACATACAACTGAAACATGAGTGAGAGTCAGAGGGAAAATGATAATCCTGTACATATTATAAAGCTACTTTTTGTATTGGTATGATGCCTCAATCTGATTTAATTTTTGTTTTATTTGCAGGTAATATAGGGGAGACCTTTTTTGATTCTCAACCTTGGTTAGAATCAGACTGCGAAGGTGATTTCTTCAGTGTTAATGGCGGTAAGAGCTCTTTGGTATCCTTTAAAGTTGTTTTGCCCTTTGAGCTTAAATTTTTGTGTGTGTGTGTGTGTGTATAAGGAAGAGATAACTACATTTTTTTTTTCTTTCCATGGTATGCATTGTGATTGACTGCCTTACAGATTTGTCACGCAATTTAGTCCACCTGGATATGTTGTAGTCTGAAAAAATACCCTTTTGTTTTATGAAAATAAATAGTATGGTCTGGAACTTGAAGCTGTGGAAAAACACTGCGTGCTAAGAAAACTTGAAAAGTTAGAGGGCCTGCTGGTGAAGTTTCACCCTGTAATAGTTCTGCTCTTGCTAAAACGTTGCGCTTCTTTAATAAGAATAGTGAGGGATATGGATCTGTGTGCAGTGCAGAATGTTACTACATAACTTATTTTTTCCTTGATTTCTTTCTGTCAACTGTCAAAATTTTGTTATGTTCTCTGTTTCCTTTGATGCAGATTTTACGCCTTCTCGTGGTAATACTCCAGTCCATCAGAGCTTCTCCATGGGAACTCCAAAGAGAGTCAATGGAGTTCTTTCTGAGGAAAGAGCCCCTGGTTCCAACCTTGTACTTACTCCGACAGAAAAGAAAATGAAACTAGGTGAACTCTTTAAAGCGCGCTCACAAGATGACCGGGATGCTGATGAGCAAAATCTATTAGGAAATGAAAAAGGTGCAAACAGAAAGATGGAGGGTAAGACACCAGCTCGTGACCTGCCTCCAAAATCCATCAATGGGACACCTTATGTATCTGGAGCTAACTCTGTCTGTGGTAGCGAAAGAACTCCTAATGGAGATTTAAAATCAGAGGAGAAACCAGGAAGGTCAGCGCAGTGTTGCCTTCCAAGGCTGCGTTCAAGCCGTAGCTTTAGTGAAAGGAAGAAGAAGATGAGCCCCACCATTAGTGTTGGGTGATGAATAAGCATGACTCCAATAAATTTTGGTACAATGTGTATTTAAGATGCCAAAAATCTGAGATGCCTCAGCACACGACTTTGCAGTAAATATTTAAAATCCGGTGGCTGGTACTTGTGAGATTTTTGTATTGAAGGAGACACGCTACCAGTCAATCACAAAGTAACTTTTATGCTTATACTTCCTATTCAGTTTGTTGGGACCTAATGATATTGTTTCACTTGAGTGAAAAGGCTAGTGAGCACAATTGCATGAAGAAGTGCTTACAAGCAAAAATTCCACGGATGACAGCTCTATCAATTATATATTTATATTTTATTTTCAGTTTGTCAAAACGTAAGGGATAGTATCTCATTTATGGAAGAGGTCTAGTGATTTCAAATTGAAAGACACGTAGTTGAGATAATTTTTTAATTAGATAACGAAAGCAATAGAAGCCTAGTGATCACAATTGCATAAACATGTATTTGAATTTTTTCGAGTTCACTCTTTATATGGTATATAATCTATAATCTATAATATAAAACAGAGCAGGTATTAATAGACTCATCCAATAGTCTTAAATAGTTTATCCAACGGTTATCAATATCCAGTTCAAAATCATTCATATTGAATTTTCTTTCCTTCAAATCCATCACTTCTCACTCAACCGGTTAGTTTACGTTGCATCGTACACGGATTATTCTTAGTTTATAATATAAAATATGACAAATTTTAATAAATTCATTCGATGGTCTCAAATATAATCATTTAATGGTCACCAATATCACTCTCAAAACCAATGTTATTAGAACCGGACCGGTCATCGAACCGACAAGGGGACCAGGTCAATGGTTCACTGGTTCAACCGTTGGGTCAATTGGTCGGATCGGTCATATAATAAAAAAATAAAAAAATACATATAATAATTATAAAACTCAATAATTTAGCTAAAAAATATAAAATATGTATAAAATACATAAAATTTGCCATAAAATTAATGAAATTAAGTAACAAAGTGGGGGTTATTGTATTTTAAAGCAAAGTAAAGAGGTTCAAGTAAATTATAAAGAAAAATAAGGGGTGCCATTTATAATTTTTCCAAGAATAAGGTTAAAAAAAATTAACTATTTACTGATTTAGGGCAAAAAAATTTATTTATGTAATTTAATTTTTAAAAACCGGTTTTTGTTAAAAATCGGCCGATTTTTTGGTTTTTAACCGGTTCGCTTCCTTAAGCGGTTCAACTAAGGAACCGGACCGGTTAGAGTCCTGGTTCACGGTTGAACCGGTCCGGTCCGGTTTTGATAACACTGCTCAAAATCATTCGCATTGAATTTCCTCCCTCTTCCCCCTCCTAAATCTATCACTTCTCACTTACGTTGCACCGTGTCTTTACGTAAGAGCTACCCTTAGTTTTGACAGAAATTACATGAAAATCATCATCTCCAATTCAGTGAAATTTTATAATTTATGAGCACATCTTATTATTTTCTTATCAAATTATATCTTCTTTTTCTGGTGTTGAATTGGATAAGTTGTTGAAACTAACAGTTAGTCCAAACTCTGAAAAGTAGTTTTTTCAACTTCATTAATGTTTTTCGGGGTATGTTAATTATCAGATATGCTCGGATCTTTGAGTGTTACAAATGGTATCAGAGGTATTACTTCTTGCTGTGTGGAGGCCACATAGTTGTCAGGCATAGTTGTAACAACTTTATCTTCTAGAATCTCACATCGCTTGGGTCGGGACAGATCCTAAACGAATCCATTTAGGCATAAGGAGCGGATTGTATTGCTTTCATATTGCTTTGAGAAGTGTGTAAATTGCTTACTAAGCTGAAGCTTGGATTTTTACTGTGTAACGTGTTTTAAAGTCGTACAAATTAAATTCAATAAAAAATGAGTAAAATATTATACAATAATAAGAATTGCATTCTTCACTTGCCCGCCGGATCTTTTCTGAGTTGCAAGAAAATATCAGAGCATGAACCTCAAAAAGCAAATTTGCTTTTACGAACATACGGAACGAACGAGTCACACACGGCCTTGTCTTGACGATAAAAGGGTTTTTTTTTTTTTTTTTTCTGGCGTATGTGTTGTTTGCAATTTTATATACACTTCCGCTTTCATTTCTCTTTTTATTTTTTTCAATAGTCAAAAATATTTGGATCAAATTTATATAAATTTTGATTAATCTTTTTATTCAATCTGATTAAAAATAAGTCATACACGCTGAAATTAGTGTATTCATGACATAGTTCCAAATGAGTACTAAAATTTGAACTCATAACGTATGAGTTTACAGTTTATTCTTGTTACCGCTTTCATTTCTCTTTTATTTCCTAATACTTGTGCCTCATTGTAGGGGTGCAACTTAGGTGAGTCAATTCAAATTTAATCCGAGCTCAACTCAAAAAAAATAAGACTTGAATTAGAATTTTTAGTACTTAGATTAGACCTAGACAAAAAAACTCAAATCCGTATTAAATTTAAACAAACCCCAGGTTAAGGCATTTAGTTGTCGGGTTTAACCCGAATTAAAATTGGGTTGAGCCCGATTATTAATTTGGGTTTAACTTGACTATACATAAATATATAAATATATTTAATTAGGGTTAGTATTTATCTTCAGTCTTCAAAGTCCGAGCTTTCACCTTACTTTAAGTTTTCACCCTTGCGCCTCCATCACTCTGAGATCCCTTTTTCACTCTTCACTCGTCTCTCATCTAATCTCAGACTCTCAGCCTTCCTTCCTCACTTACTTATTACTTGTTTAAGTTGTCACAAACTATTAGCCTCCTTCTCTTACTCATCACTCCTCTTTTTTTTTTATCAAGTTGAATTAAGAAACTCGAGTTCAACCCGATTTTTAAACTAAAATTAGTTTGAATTAAGTAAATCGAATTCAATTCGAGCCCGTCCAAATTAAACTCAAGCAGTACTCGAGTTGAATACCTCGAATTAAGGTATAATTAAGATTAAAATTTAAAATTATATACCTAAAGTTGAGGTAAGGTTGACCTCTCAACCAACCCAACCCGTCTAAGTTGCACCTCTACCTCATTATACACATTTCCTTTTCCCTCTTTTTTTTTTTTTTTTCTCGTCAGCAGTGTTGTGATATGATTGGATTGCCGTGTACGAAAATGTGAAATTAGAATATTTTCATCTTCTTCCAAAAAAAAAATCAAAATACCTTCACGTCACCATTATCAGTTAGTTGATGACCATCCACCTTACGATTTTGTACACTTCTCTATGCGGGCGTCGACTTATACAGTGTCTTGCCGAGAAGACGAAAAAGAATTCATGTCTATTGTAGATTCTAGCAAGGAAAACCTCCGGGGACGTCTGGTCTTGTGTATGAGCAGTAATGACAATTCGACAAGTGGGTTCATTGACATAACAGATAATAAAGAATGATGAATTGAGAACTTTCATCATTTTCTAACAAAAAATAACTAAACACATGATTCTTACTAGCATGGATTAATTAGAATAAACATCATATAATGATCGTGCACACCACTTAAATGTTTGACACATCTCATTGAATGCTTGACAAAAATCATACGATCTTTAAATATCGAGACAATGTTTATTAAATGTACAATCTCCTGAATAAGATAATCATTGCAACATTTGATCTTTAAGTGACTACGAGCCCCCCTAGCCCTAAAAAGTGTGTGGCCGGGGGCAAGAGTGGCTACTAACAAGTCACCCTTATGGATGTCCGACTTGCCAACTTTTTTGTGACTCACGAGGTTTCCATGTCATCACCTCCCAAGTGTAAAATAGTTTCAAAGAGTTGAGTTTTAAGTACACATGCACAACCCAGCTTGCATTGTGTTCATATCCTCTCATTTTGAACGTTGATCAGACTTAGATATTAAAAGAGATATATAAGATATACATCATATTTGACCTCTTTTTTAATCTCGTTTCTTATTGTAGAAATCTTATCTCAATTTAGTCACATGTTGCTATCTCAATTATTAAGTATATTAAAAAAAAAACAATTACGCGTGATTGACCCCGTATACCAATAACCATTTCTAATGTTTGCATTTCTACTGTATAATAAAAAAAATGTTTGCATTTCTACTGTATAATCATTTTTTTAGGAATGAAGACAAAGTTATCTAGTACATACCTTGTTTAAAATTTATTATAAACAAAAGTGTAATACATTGGACATAATATTTTTTTTCTTATATTTCTTGGAATTGAAAACATTACTCTGTGATTAAATTTGGTTTGACAATTATTCTTTGGAAATGAAGAGAATAATTGATTATATAAGAAAACATATGTGAGCGAATCTCTTTGAATGCATAATGCTAATATCATCGTTACTTCTGATACACTTTGATGATGTATAAATTGATTTATACATCACCTGTCAATTAAGTAATATAAAATGCAGTAAAATAGAAGTAGAGAAAAAACCAAATTTATAGTGGTTTGGTCAAGATGACCTATGTCCACTTGGAATGACAAGGGCCGTCGAAATTTTATTAACTCCAACGTAGTGGAAGAGCAGAAAGTTACAAACTTTGAGAGAGGAGGAGAAAATTATCTCGAATGAGTCTGATGTTCTCCAAGTTTTTGTGGAGCTTATAATTTATAGTGGTTTAGTGTAGTAATTAAATAGCTACTCTGACAGTCATTACGGTTTTGGGTCATTTAATAGTTATTGATGATGCACAAAAATGGTTTTGCACACCACATGTCAAGTGTAGGTAATAAATACAGTGAAATCAATGAGAAAATTAAAGAAGACACGATTTATAGTGGTTTGATCAATTCGACCTACGTCCACTCTTCAATGGATTCAGTTGTCGGGTATTTTATTAATTCAAAGGTATGGAGAATAGAGATACAAGCTTGAGAGAATGGAGAATCAAAAAAGCAGTGGTCTCCGATCGTCGGTCTCTCCTCTGTAAGTGTTGGTAGGGCGTTCCATTTTTTGTAGTCTCCTAACAGATTGGGGCTATTTTATAGCAGCTAAGAGATTA